CTCTCGTCCAGACCCACTGTGTCCAGTGTCATGGTGACCGGAGATGGGTACGGATGCAGTGGATGACCAAGATGTTCTACCTGCCTCATCTTGCTCTACACCCTCACACGGTGCGTTGCTGTAATCGCCATCTCCTCAGTTGAACCTAAATAGACTCCTCCGCAGGATCCGTCGATGTCCAGGGTTCGCATGTAGTAGGTAGGCAGTACTAAATCACAGATTGTTTGAGGCCCATCAGCTACCCTCACCTGGTTTACTCGGCTAGTGAAGCCGTTGACCAGGGTATGGTTGTTGTTGTGTGCTAATAGCTGTGGGGATGCATAAGTGAAAGTTGAGTGACAGGAGAGGACTAAGGCGACCGAACTGCTCTTAGGAGAACAATGTTTTCTCCCATCGGGGGTACTACTTCTTCCTGTATACATCTTTATAAAAAAAATACTTAACAGAAATAAAAATTCCGGCCAGAGTCTTTAGTATATTTTACACTTAAATGACTATTTCCTAGAACTAATTTTTGTTGAAATTAAAAATTCCTTCCTTTTGTGTATTATTATACCGCCATCTTGTCGTAGCCGGAAGTTATCCTTTGTATAGTGATAGTGGAGATTTTGTTAACGAAATGTTTTTGAAAGAAAAAATAAGTATCTCAAACAAAGATTCTGATCCTAGCCAGATTCCTAAGCATATTTTCCTCAGAAAGGACTATTTCCTATACTTAATTTTTGGTGAAATCCATGTTTCCTTCCTTTTGTCTCCTTGTTGTATTGTTTTTTTTCTGCCATCTTGTTGCAGCCGGAAGTAAATATCATAAGATAAAATATAATGTACTGATGGATGTACATAATTTAAATGAACCTATGGATTTTTACATTGATAGAACACAGTGGATACCGGTAACTGGATTTAGGGGTTGTCCATGGATTTAAAGAAATATTGCTATTATATTTTATTTTACTTGTTCCATAATAAAATTTGACATGTAGTGAATAACTTTGACATATCAAGATTATACTTTATTATATATATTGATATACCATATATTGGTAACACCATGTATTGTTATACCACATATTGATACACCATGTTGCTCTGCCAAGATTATATCCAAATTAATCTTGTCTTTCTGGACTTGAGTTTCTCATTAGTGTTTTCTTGAAGTTTTTTGTAAGGGTTTTGGTCCCTCAGCCATTGAATCACTTCACTAGAAAGTCAGGATGTTAGTTACAGCTGTGAGGAAGTCAGTCAAAATTCCTTTCAATATATATATTTAGAGTTTATGATCTGAACGCTTAGACAGCTAATATTACTAATAAAGTAGGTTTCAATTGAGGTCAGGATTGAAAATATAAAAACAAGAGAAAGGACTTTGTCTTACTATGTGTCTCTATGTAAGAATTTCTTCTTACACTCAATTGAGATAAAATGTCAGCAATTCCCCACTCCCTGTGTATGGATACTTAAACCTTGGTCCACTTTTGTGAAAGCACTTTACATGATATTATGAATATAAATAAAACAGGATCCCACTGGATGAGTATCTTTTATTTTAACTCGACTTAACATATACTTTTAACTGCTAAAGACATTAAAGCTTTACTTTTTAACTGAAATGTAAGTTATGGAACTCTTCTTGTTGAATGTTTACAGATTGGTAATGCTGTACCACCTCCGATGGGACGAGCTATTGGGCAGGAAATTAAGAACTGCTTACTGTGGAAGAAAAAACTGGATGTTCCACTAATAAAGGAAGGGAATGAAGAGGAAAGCACAGGAGAAAGAACTGAGCCAGAAGATAAGAAGTGTAAAAAGGAAGAGGACATGGTTATGAAAGCAGGGGGGTCGTCAAGTTGATAAGGAATTCCTAGATTACAAAGACGAATACTCATGATTCCACGGATTTGATTCTTTAAATGACAACTAGAAAAAAAAATCAAAAAATGTTTTAAATGTCATCAGTTTTAACAATTTAGGTATCGATTGGCAATTACTTTTATGCAAAGGGGATCTATCGTATAAACAAGTAAAGCAAATTTTATTCCAGATCTGGCATATTTTAAAAGACTTTTGTTTCCAAATTGCTTTTAGAACTAAAATTGAAAATTCATGTGCCAGGGGGTCAACATTTACATCTGCCATGGCAACTAGGCGTTCTGTATTTGTCTACCCCTACTTACAATTACCATAGCCCTCAGATGTTTTCTGTTTGATAATTTATTTTCCTGGCCTTGAAGTTTTGAGAATTTAAATTTCAAATGCCCGCTCTTTTTTGTATGGTTGTAAATATGTACACATTTTTACTAAAAACATTTGTCAATAACTGTGTTTTTACAATAATTTGAATTTTTATGAAGTTATTTCTTCTAGCTATACTTTTATCCTTGGGCTTTTGCTAATATAAACTATAAATTCACATTACTACACAACTGATACAAATAGATAAAATATTGGCATGTTAAAAGCTGAAATGCATGAGGGTTGTTTTCAAAAAAAAATTTAACTATATTTTTACATTTTTAATGGGGTTAGCATTCATTATGAGATAGGGTTGATTATTGCAAAACTTTGTATAATATATGGGGTAGGACCACTTAGAAAAAAAATTATTATTTGGAGTAAAGAAAAAAAAATTACTTGGGGAGAAATAGCTCTCCAATTTCATACTATTGGTCTCGGCCATTGCTTGGCTATGAATCATTGGTCAATCCCTCATCTTACAGGAATAGATTTTCGAAACATCAATTAGGAATTAGGAAATACTCTGAAGTGGAAAAAGTAGAGCTGTCCAAGCTTTTCTGTTTTACAAACATTTGGTCATATTCATAAAAGTAGAAGAGGCTTTTCTTTTCTTCTTTGTATCTATTTTTAGGTTTTAAGTTTTACAAATATATACAAATGGGTTGATTTGCATGAAGGAATTCAAAAGTTTCTTATAAACATTTTTAACTTATTTAAAATTTAATATAAAAAAAACTGTACAATAAGCTTGTCTGTGACTTCAACAATAGCCAATGTTCTTGTGTAGGGACATTTCACAGCATCTTGTGGATTCAGAGTTCCCTGAATCTAATGAATCCTAATTATTTTAAATAAAAATGCAATTTTAAACTGTTTATTAAACCAGTCTTTATGTACCTTCACTTCCACAAAATTGGAATTGTCAATAAATGTTATCAATGTAAATGGAAAAATTTGTCTGATCACTGCATACCATTTGGGAATGTGCCTATTTGTGAACTTAAGATGTTAAAGAATTTGAAGGGCCAAATCTTCATGTTCATTGCAGTTTCATGATGTAAAATTGAGGAGGATTATCATTTTGAAAGAGAGAAGAACAAAAAAGACCATACATTTTTAAAGACATTTATTACTTATGAAATTATTCATCAACATAGAAAGGTATGAGTGTCTCCCAATTCAACAACAGACAGGCAGCATTAAATATACACAACAAGCATTAATCCTATGCCATTAAAATTTTAAGTGATGACATCTGCAATGCAATGCACTCAGTTTGGATGAGGAAATAACTGTATTTGCTTGGATTATATAGTAAGCATGATGGGACAACTGGTACTGCTGATGATGAACTGGTGGTGCTGTACAATATAACAGATAATGGTGCTGTTACAAAATTATTGAGGGCCCATTGACTGACAAGTAAAAAGAAAATACAGGTACTAAAGCCGAAAGCCTGTAGTCTGTTGTTTCTTAAATTATTGTTGGAAAAATAATAAATGAAAGTAAAAATAGTTTTAAACCAGGCCCTGGCCCTACATTAGTTATTATTTTATCTAGGACATTTAAATATCAGGAAATTTTCAGCTAGAAATCTAGACCAGTGGTCGGCAAATCGCAGCTCGTGAGCCGCATGCTGCTTTTTAGTGACCTGAATGCGGCTCGGCCAGTCGGCCACAAATCGGTTTTGAATCAGAAAAACATGGTTCTTGAAAAGAAATTTGGCTCTCAAAAATTTAAAAAAATCGTCCTGTTGCTGATTTTTTTGGCTCTTTTGACCGAGTTTGCTGACCACTGATCTAGACCATTCTATTTAAAATGAATAAAAATGCATCAAGTTTAAATTTTACATAAACATGACAACTCTTAGATAATGTGCAAGACATCAATTTCATCATGTAGAAGCATTGAAAGAAGCATTCAGTTCAAATAACTCAGTGTCTGTTGTAATTATGCTGAGATGATGCTTACTTCTGTGTAAGCTCAAACAACAAATAAAAGCAACAGGAATTAAATACATCATATTTTGTTCCCCATCAATCAATCAAGCTCCAAAATAATGTCCATCATCCAAATGTGAGCATCTGACAAGAACATACATTTTTTAAAAAATGCACATACACAATATATATTATCTTTTATGAAAAATATTGCACCAAGAATGTATGACAGGACTTCAGGACTTTACAGAGTTAATATTGGGATATTTTCCTGCAGTAAAAGCAAAATAATAATGGTGGTGACAAAATCTTGTTCATGGTTACAATTTAAAGACACAAAAAAAAAATTTCAAGCTGTAGCAGTGCAATCTTCTGACTACTTTAGAATGGCAGTGTGCCACCATCCACCAGCTGAACCATGGCAGTGTTCCACCAGCTGAACCATGGCAGTGTTCCACCAGCTGAACCATGGCAGTGTTCCACCAGCTGAACCATGGCAGTGTTCCACCAGCTGAACCATGGCAGTGTTCCACCAGCTGAACCATGGCAGTGTTCCACCAGCTGAACCATGGCAGTGTTCCACCAGCTGAACCATGGCAGTGTTCCACCAGCTGAACCATGGCAGTGTTCCACCAGCTGAACCATGGCAGTGTTCCACCAGCTGAACCATGGCAGTGTTCCACCAGCTGAACCATGGCAGTGTTCCACCAGCTGAACCATGGCAGTGTTCCACCAGCTGAACCATGGCAGTGTTCCACCAGCTGAACCATGGCAGTGTTCCACCAGCTGAACCATGGCAGTGTTCCACCAGCTGAANGGGGGGGGGGGGGGGGGGGGGAGAGAAGGATTTTTTCAATCAAATTTGTCTCATTTCCACCTATTTTGACAACTTCATTCAAACGTTTGAAAGAATACATGAGATAGTGGAACAAAATAAAATGAGTTCATCACAAATACAATGAGTGTGTACAGCTGACAAACAGCCCACTGTGAACACTGAAGGGGAATAGATATGTAGTCAATTTATGTTATATTAAGAAATTAATGTGAAAATTACAAACCAGACAATGACAATCAAGATAACAATACAGGCTGGGGGAATGTTCCTTTTTTGGGGAAAGCCAGATTACCTCCCCTGGAATTAAAAATGTCAGTGTGACGTGGAATTGAATTTGAATGGAACAAGGGTTCTCTACAGCCTCCTCCCTACCCTGTATGGACACCCCGAAGAGTGCTAGTGTTGCCCTGAACCACTGTCAAGAGTGTTAGTGTTGGACTGAACCACTGTCAAGAATGTTAGTGTTGGACTGAACCACTGTTAGTGTTGGACTGAACCACTGTCAAGAGTGTTAGTGTTGGACTGAACCACTGTCAAGAGTGTTAGTGTTGGACAGGGAAGTCAATTTTCTCCAACAGTTTAAAAAAATATTTAATGGGAAAAAAGGAGTGTGTGTGGGGTGTTGTTACTAAATTATTTTTTAAAAACTTATATATTCACTGGAGATTTCATTTGACAACACATGTGGCTATCATTATTTAGAGCATCCAGTGGATTTGGAATAGGTTGTTGATATAAGTTTCAACATAACCCATAAAAATTTCATAAAGGAAAATTGGATAATGGTGTAATCACAGTAAATAAGATATTTTTGGTAAACAAAAGCCAATTGTCCAACTACTTTCAGACTACTTACATTTTCCTTCTAAAAAAAAATTCTAGATTTGTTTTAAATGCACTGCAATGAACAGAGCAGCATAATTAGGGGGCCAAATGTCTGCCTGGCCCTCTTTTAATTATGCAAAAAGACTACATCATAAGGACAAGACTCCTACCGTACTTTAATTGTTCTATTAAAAGAACAATTTTTGTTACAAGTGATAAAATTAAAGATTAAATTGTACCATTCAGAATGGACTCGTTTCACCAGATCAAATAACCATTTTGCCTCATCATTCTAGCCCTCTCTTAATAATATGAAAACTAACAACATTCACATCTCATAACAAAAACAGGCTGAACTACTCCAAACAAAAGAACATCGGTTTGATCTTGTTTTCACAATATTTTTCCTTTAAATTCAAGTTAAAAATAATTGGAGGAAACTGGGGGAAAAAAACAAGAAAACAGCCAACCCATTTTTTTTTCATTTGATTTTTTTTATAAAACATTACAAAAAACATCAAGAAGAACTATCAAAATTCCAAAGTTTTCTAGAATGATATATTTTGATACAAAATTCTCTATATAACAATGTCACCATCCCTACCAGATAGCGCTGATTTCACTAAATGAAATCCCTGGTAACTGCGCTAAATGAGATTATTAAATATACCGGATGTGTGTTTGGTGCGTAATATTTTCTTTTCTTTGCAGCATAAAAGGGGGTGGGACATTAGAATATTAATATAGTTCAGGGGCGTTAAAGTTGTGCTGGTGTGAGCCTGGATTTGAGGAGGGGATTATATATTATATATATAGAGAGAGAGCACTAATAGGGATTATTACAAAGTGCGTTACTTGAATGCATGTTTTGTCAAGTAACTTAAGTAGATGGGAAGTTCAGGCATTGCGCCCACCATTGTCTGAAGCCCCTTATTTCAATTATGCAAGATACACACTCAGCTTTTCTGGTCAATGTCTATTTCAACACTAAAAAGTGCAATGTACAGCATTATTTAAGACACACCATATACAGACCTATTTATAAACAAAACAAAAGAATCTTTGATTCACACCTTGTATTTTGCAACTCAGATTATTCACTTCTTTTCTCAGCGTAAGTTAGATTAGAGGTTCTCAACCTAAAGTGCAAACATAGGTTTCAGGGTATCCCCTGAACAAGGATGGCAAACAAATGTCATCTTCTCATTTCATTTTTTCACTCGCTGGCACAGAGCAGATGGCTCTGTTCTACTGTTTTGATACTCAACACATTTATGAATCAATCCTTGGGGTCCTTCTTGGTGGAAGCAACATCCCTGATAGAGCTGAGCGTCTTGTGGAACCAGGTGTTCTTGTTGGCAGTGATCTCTGTGACTGCGGCATTGAGCTGGTGGGTCAAGTCCTGTGTCTTACATTCTGACTCCACTAGGGCAAGTTTAGTTTGAGCCAACTCTAGTTCGAGTTCTCTAACCTGGAAAATAGTTTTTATTGGACATTTTCTAGGTCATCTCTACCACATTATCTAGGGCATCTCTACGAAACACATCATCTAGTGCATCTCAACCAAACACCTTAACTAGGGCATCTCTACCTAACTTAAGTTTTGACACCTCTTGAGCTTATCAGGGTTTGTTTTAGCTAGGCTGTGTCAAATGTTTGGTGCCAAAAGTTCACAGCTGTGTCACAAGATTTAAATAAGGGGGATGAGAATCCAATGTCAATATATCTTTGGGATTTTGATATAACTTATCTACCACATATTACCATGTCCAATATGAAACATTTATGGTAAGAAATGCTACTTAAAGTTAGGGGTTCACATTATATTTCTTTTTAAAAGTCAATTTCATTCCCCCCCCTATTGCACCCACACCTTTTGGACACCCCCCTCTCTTTGTGTACATACAACGTAGTACAATTGAGCTATCATAACCCCCCCCACCCCCACTTTCAGGACAGGGCACAAGATCGCAGTTTGCAAAAGCTCTTAAGAATGATTAATGAATGGTGCTCATTGACATACATAGCTCTTATCATTATTTTTACTGAACCCTTTCATCCAACAAATGTTTTTCACCTAATCTAATACTAATATCAATGAATTCTGACATTTTTTAAAATTTACATTCACCTCAGCCACTCAAGGCTGCACAGAATGATAATTCTTTAAGCCCAAATTTTAAATGGGTTCATTCTTTTGGGAGGAAGGACTTACATGTTTGGGAGGAAGGACTTACATGTTTGGGAGGATGGACTTACATGTTTGGGAGGAAGGACTTACATGTTTGGGAGGAAAGACTTGCGTGTTTGGGAGGAAGGACTTACGTGTTTGGGAGGAAGGACTTACATATTTGGGAGGAAGGACTTACATGTTTGGGAGGAAGGACTTACGTGTTTGGCAGGAAGGACTTACATGTTTGTGAGGATGGACTTACATGTTTGGGAGGATGGACTTACATGTTTGGGAGGAAGGACTAATGTGTTTGGAAGGATGGACTTACATGTTTGGGAGGAAGGACTTACATGTTTGGGAGGGTGGACTTACATGTTTCTGTAGCTCTGTTATATCAGGGTCTTCCTGTGTCTCTCTAGAGTTGTCCACCAGTCTAAGGGTGTCACCATCGAACACTGTGCAACATTTCTCACAGGACTTTACCTGAACCTGAGTCGCAGTAGAATGAGAGTTACGAAGATGACAATTGACTTTTTGACTCATGGAATGAGAGTTACGAGGATGACAATTGACATTTTGACTCATGGAATTAGTTACGAAGATGACAAATTGACATTTTAACTCATGGCACGAGAGTTACAAAGATGACAATTGACATTTTGACTCATGGCACAAGAGTTACAAAGATGACAATGGACATTTTGACTCATGGCATGAGATTTACAAAGATGACACTTTGACATGAATTAAAGCAGAGCAAGGGAAGTGACCTACTTTAATGTTAACCAATTCTTCCTTAAAAGTTGCCTGTTGTTTCTCCAAGCGTTCACTCAGCTGTGTACAGATCTGAGGATAAATTGTTATTGGAACTTATCAACATAAAAACACATCACTTGGTACAAGTTTCTACAGTCAAACCTGATTCACTGTCAAAAAATCAATTTGTAACAGTTTCTCCATTCAGACAACTCCACATACTTGCCTACTTGAAACATGACTAGCAAGTAAGTCATTCTATACTTGCCTACTTGAAACATGACTAGCAAGTAAGTCAATCTATACTTGCCTACTAGAAACATGACTAGCAAGTAGGTCGATCTATACTTGCCTACTTGAAACATGACTAGCAAGTAAGTCACTCTATACTTGCCTACTTGAAACATGACTAGCACTTGCCTACTTGAAACATGACTAGCAAGTAGGTCGATCTATACTTGCCTACTTGAAACATGACTAGCAAGTAGGTCGATCTATACTTGCCTACTTGAAACATGACTAGCAAGTAGGTCGATCTATACTTGCCTACTTGAAACATGACTAGCAAGTAAGTCGATCTATACTTGCCTACTTGAAACATGACTAGCAAGTAGGTCGATCTATACTTGCCTACTTGAAACATGACTAGCAAGTAGGTCAATCTATACTTGCCTACTTGAAACATGACTAGCAAGTAGGTCGATTTATACTTGCCTACTTGAAACATGACTAGCAAGTAGGTCAATCTTCCCCCAACCCCATCCCCCCCACCTTGCACACACACACACACACATGGCCAATAGAGATTGACAATTTATAGTGAGACAGATCACCACTGTTTGTCCCCAATGACAACCATCATCTACTTGTTTATAATCCTCCATCTACCTGTTTGTAATCTGTAATTATGGCTGAATTTCTCTTCGACTCTGCCTCAGCTCTCTCTAGCTCTCGGCGGCACATTTCCTTCAGCTGGAGAAACAATTACAAGTAATTCAAGTATTTCATCAGACTAATCAACAAGTAGATTGCTTATGACATCAACAAACGACTGTTTGAGAATCAAATGTTTAAAGTTAAAACTAATGAACCCACCGACGTGGCGTACGCCACACGATTACGCCACACGATACTCACAGATTTAGATTCGGCATCCAGCCTCTTCTTTTCATCTTCTGTCTCTCTCAGAAGATTGGAGGTGTGCTTGAAGTCTCTATCCAACTCAGAACATCTGTCCTCCAACTGACACATTCAGACAAAATTATAAGAAAGAAAATAGTTAATGAGCCAAAATGATTCAATCAAACTTGGAAAAGTAATTGAACAATATCAGAGTGCATTCCTACAGAAATTGCCATTAGTCTTTCATTTCATTTTGTACATAGCTTTAGAATAACTGCTTCCAAGTTAACATGAAACATACTTGACTATAGAAAAATATACGTCTGAGTCTCTCTGATCATTGGAATTAGGGCCTTTAAAACTACATTTTCAAATGCACTGTTGAACATGAAATCAACTTACACGTTCATTTTGTCAGTTAAATATGAGTTTAACTTACAAGATCATTTGAATGTTAACATGAGTTTAACTTACATGATCAATTTTACTGTTTAACGTGAGTTTACTCTCTACTAGTTCATGGGCCAGGTCATCATTCTCCTGCTCCAGTCTCATATTTGCCTCTATTAAACGTTTGTTCTCTCTCTGACAGAAGACAAGTTATTGTGCAAGATAGCAACATTTTGTTATAAAACACAAGTAAGGGCCAGCCATATATTCCATATGCACTGAGATGGGGTGGAGGAGGATGGGGTGTTGATTTACAATATTTTGTGTACACAGTACTTAGATGTAGGGAAGGGAATCGGCAGAATGGGTACATTCATTTATGCAAAAATTCTGCAATAATTATCCTCCTAAGTTCATAAATGCCTCATTGTCATCTAAAATCTTTGAAATCCTTGATTTCTAATTGTTTTCATGCTGTTGCTTTTTGTTTTAATAAATAAAGTCGCCAGATATTGCAACAGTAATATGCAGGCTTGCAACAGTATATGCAGCGTAGCAAAAAATTTATTCTGTCTGCTGCTATATGGTTATAGTACTTATAGCCGATATAATTAGCCTATAATAAAATTAATATTTTTGCCAATAAAATAAAAATTTTTTTTTTATTAAAATGGGGTAACTCTTTTAAACTAGATTTTTTTCACTTACATTGAAAAATAAGGTAAAAATTGATTTTGAAGATATTTTTTGACACTCATGCTTCTGATAATTACGATAATGGAGCTTGCACTACTTGAAGTTCAAGTTCTAATACTAGAATTAGTTGAGAATAGGTTACTTATGAATTTAATTATAAAGGCATATGCATGTCACCAATGAATGCATGTGATGCATCCATTTTGAGGAGAAATTTGGACAGCAAATATTTCATAATAATCGATTATTGGTAGTCAATGTAAAGTGAATTTTTGTCAAATTTATTATTCTCCACTTTTATTATTTGTTGATACTGACAGTTTCTTCTTCTTTTTTTTTTTTAAACTTGCCTCTTTTTAATTAACATTATCTCTGAATTACCCCCCCCCTTCCCTTCGTCATAAGACAAGAATATTGAGACTCAAGTTATGATAGCAGCAAAATGATTTAAGAGAAAAATGTAAATAAACAAGCTAAAACAAAACCAAATTAAATACCTCAAATCTTTCAATAGGGTCTTCTTTTGCCATGCTTTGTTCTTGAATGGTCTGGTACTCCTTTTCATATTTTTTTAACTTGCGGCTTCCAACCTAAGTATCATTATGATGAACAGGTATTAAAAGAATATTTTTTAAATAAAAAATTAAATTTCAGCCTAATTAAAGTAGATTTTAAAAAATTCATTGAAATTAATATCAAAACAATTTTTGAAAATGCACAAACCAAAGATTCATTAAAATATTTATAACAAATATTTTATTATAATAATATAATAATTATAATAAATATTTATTAAATGTATAAAAAAAAACCTAGGGCAGTTTTTAAAACTTAAATATAATGTACTAGGCGACCCTCGGCGTAGCATACGCCGCAAACTTGTTCGGGTGTGCGCATGGCTGGCAAGCGAGATGTAGCCCGCCAAACATTGGTGACAGCAATGTGTGAACTTCCCATATACTAAAGTTACTTGACAAAAGCGTGAACTCAAGTTACGCAAATTTAAGAATGCCAATTTTGCTACACCCCTTCCCCCCCTCCCTCCTTTTCTTCATGATACGTCACTGCACACTTTTTATTTCACACCCATGAACTATATTAATATTCTCATTTCCCAACGACTTTTAAACCGAATATTTTTTAACACAAAATTGAGACAATTTCATTACCGAAAATAAAATATTACGCACCAAACGCAATTGCGTTATTAAAAAAAAATATATATCATTTAGCGCAGTTATCTGGAATTATATTTTGCCCGCTGGTGAACTCATTATTTAACCACACTCTGGCGTTTCTATATATAGCCTGCGTGGTGGTGGTATTTGACCTTTGCTGGCGAATTATATATAATATACTTATATACTTAATAATAAGCAACAATAAAAAATGAAGTTATAAAACTAATTTCCTTCCAACCTTGAGACTAACAGTGGCCCTCATCAGTTCCTTGGCAGCTTCTTCTCCTCTGTATCTCTTGGGCAAGTGAACACGGAAGTACTTCAACACACCCTCAAAGTCATGGGCCAACAAGTCTTTACGAGATGACTGATGACATGAGGATACATTTTTTATATAGGAGAGGACTTAGCACATACAAATACATGTTAATGTAGGAGAGGACTGAGGACATGACAATAAAAAATGCATGTTAATGTAGGAGAGGACTGAGGACATGACAACACAAAATACATGTTTATGTAGGAGAGGATTGAGGACATGACAATACAAAATACATGTTTATTAGGAGAGGACTGAGGATAAGATAATACAAAATACATGTTTATTAGGAGAGGACTGAGGATAAGATAATACAAAATACATGTTGATGTAGGAGAGGACCAAATAAATTAAAACACATTTTTTTATTTGTACAGGATAGATGAAATGGCAATAACATTTTTTTTTTTTTTATTTAGAGGGAACTTAGGACATAAAAATACATTTTTATATAGGGGAGGACTGAGGACATGACAATACATTTTGCATAGAGGAGAGGAGGACAATTTATTTTATATTAGAGGACCAAAGATATAACATAAAATTTTTCATTTTATACAATTTATATATACAAGTTGAGTCACAAATTTTATCTTTTTAATTTCAAAGAGATTGCAAATTTTATCCAAGTAAAGTAGAATGAAATAACTCACTTTGAGCAAAGCCAGGGCCACAGAGAAAATGATGAGATGACCCTGAAAAATAGTTTATTCAATAATTACATTGGATGGACCAATTGATGTATTCCCTGCATAAAATTGTTTATTTTATTCAATAATTTATTCCATCCATAAAACTGACCTCATTATTAGAAAATGTTTTTCATACATAATGTCGATATTATCACAGGTGTGGCTCGGTTTAAACTGAGGGTAATAAGCCCTGAGACTCTATTCTCAATTACAGGACAAATAGATTGCAGTTGATTTTCCAGAGGTTACAAACCTTGGCTCACTTACCCTACACCACGACACACTACAACCTGTACAATGGCAAACCATACCTTGTACTATGGCATCCCATACCCTGTACAATGGCAAACCATACCTTGTACTATGGCACACCATACCCTGTACAATGGCAAACCATACCTTGTACTATGGCACACCACACCAAGTACCATGGCACACCATATCCAGTATCATATACACCATATCCAGTACCATGGCACACCATATCCAGTATCATTGCACACCATATCCAGTACCATGGCACACCATATCCAGTATCATGGCACACCATATCCAGTATCATTGCACACCATATCCAGTACCATGGCACACCATATCCAGTATCATTGCACACCATATCCAGTACTATGGCAACCTTACCCTGTATCAATCTAATGAAATTAAACTTTAAATATAAAGTACTAACTACAACATAAAGCCACAAGAACAGTGTTTGTGGACTCTCACCTCACTCAAAAATAGGTCCAGAATACCAAAGACCAGATGTAACGGGAACTTGGCAGTGAAGAGAGTGAGGAACCACTGAGAGGCAAACATGTGTATCTCTAGCCCCATCTCAGCAAAATGGTCATACAGGTCTGGGAGCTGCTCCTGGTTGAGACGAGAAATGGCCACACTTTAGACTACACATCAAACTACAGTCAGACCAAACATTAGATTTCACAACAGACAATAGATTTCACAAAAGACTACGTTACGACCAAACAGATAATGCATCAAAATGCTAAGGTGTAATCTTTACATATAGCCATAGCATTAACACATCATATAGCCATAGCATTAACACATCATATAGCCATAGCATTAACACATCATCATTATGGTTTGTAAACCAACACATCATGTCTTCCACCAACAAATTAATTTTGTTTATTGTCATGAGCTGTCCTTGGGTATTTTTGTTAATGTCATTATCGCGTTTAGCGTCCATAATATCCACTAATTGAAACAGAGAAACACTAGTCACCTACCTGCATAAGTCTAAACCTACCTGCACAAGTCTAAACCTACCTGCACAAGTCTAAACCTACCTGCATAAGTCTAAACCTACCTGCACAAGTCTAAACCCACCTGCATAAGTCTAAACCTACCTGCACAAGTCTAAACCTACCTGCATAAGACTAAACCTACCTGCACAAGTCTAAACCTACCTGCATAAGTCTAAACCTACCTGCATAAGTCTAAACCTACCTCCATAAGTCTAAACCTATCTGCATAAGACTAAACTTATCTGCATGAGTCTAAAACTATTGACATAAGTCTACACCTAACATATTGGTTTAACATACCTGCCTAAATCTAAACCTACCTGCACAAGTCTAAACTTATCAGGGTAAGTCCAAACCTACCAACATAAGTCTAAATCTACAATGTCGTTTTAACCTACCTGCATTAGCCTCTCCAGCTGATAAAACTTGAGGTGCAGAATCTGGAAGCCTTGTTTAAAGAGGTCTCGGAGCTGGTATTCATACATGATCTTCACAAGTACACAGAAAGCTTGCTCTTCAGGCATCTGTCCATAGTTTAGGTTTATGTTAGATCTAAGTCTTATTTGTGTACCCACATACACCTAAATACTTAAAAAATTATTAAAACTGCAGGAATACTAATCATTGTCTATGTTAGAGTTAGAATTTAACAAAAAAAATTTTTTTATTTGGCATTTTTGTCTACAATTTAATTATAAATCCATTGTTTTTTCCAAAAATCTTTGTTAGGATAATCTTCAGTTAAAGTATTCAGTTATGAAGCTTTTATATTTCCCCTTTCAAAAATAGGACTTAGGTTTCCCCACACATTAAACTAAGCCAGGGATACAATCAAAATATGAGTATAAAAAAAACAACACATTTCAGTATGACAGAATAATAGAAATTAATGAGGGCCATTGTTAACAACCAACAGCTAAAACAAATGCACAGTTTGGATGTACTTACATGTAACAAAAGAGCTGCAGCCAGGAAAGATAATCCTTGGACATAGCCAATCTCTTCATCATATACAGAATAGGCCTGCAATATATTTAAAACATGGTTTTGATGTGCAGCTAAACATTAATCAGACTTATTCAACTAAAGTATTCTGTCACAGCATTAATTTGACATTCAACAAGAGTAATATCATAGCATTACTTAGACTATTCAAATAAAGTAATTTATCACAGCATTTCTGAGACTTGTTCAACTCCAGTATTCTATCACAGCATTAATTAGACTGCTTTAACCAAGGTAATTCATAAAAAACAATAAGTATATATAACTTTGAAATAAATGGATCTGCACTTTTATCTCAAGTCCTTGCATCTTCACTATCCTAACCAGCACACTAATATTCACTGATCCTAACCAGGACTTTTCTCACTGCCAGGACACTTATCGTCACTTATCCTAAACACTCAATTCACTGATATAATGAATCCTGGCCTTGACCATCAGTACATACTGTAGAAATGTAACTCTTGATGTCCTGTGGTCATCCACTCTTCTAATCCAGACCCTCAACCATGTGACATCCTAGTACCACACATACCAGTGTAACCGATAACAAACACTGGATATATCGATATGAGTTCTATGTACAATTTTAATATGCCTCGTAAGCCTGACAAATCAGTGTACTTCACAATACAACTTGTAAACTTATCAACGTTCAACTTCACTATCTATCTAGCTGAATCCTCACACATAGAAAGCTAAGCGTTGAGCATCTCACAACAAGCTATGTCTTGAACAGCACACAACGGCCATCTCTATCCTCTCTCAACAACAACTCAAACTAGCGCGTCATTCCCTCTTACACAATTAAGTCACAACACTCTCACACAAACGATACAGCTACACATAAAATCTCGAACTAAACATCTTTTCCCTATCAAACATGAAAACGATGATCTACACATAACAACAGTGATTCTCATACCCTTGACACATACCTTACTTATCCTATATAGTAAATGCTGGCCTTGACCTCCAGCCAATACCTTACTAATCTTACACTTGACCATCAGCACTTACCTTACTAATCCTATACAGTGAATCCTGGCCTTGACCTCCAGCATCTTTAAAGAAGTCATGGGCTGGAAAAGTTCTATTAATATCTCTTTGTATCACAGCATCCGAGGGGGAATCCTGGATTATTGACCAATAAAATAACAAGAATGAAATATGCCACAAATTATCAGTCCTTACCAATATGTCAGAACTTATCAGTCCTTAAACTGTGACAACATCCCACAACTTAATCAGCCTTACCAATATACCACAACTTATCAGTCCTTACCAATATGCCACAACTTATCAGTCCTTACACTTTGTGACAATATGCCCCATCTCATCAGTCATTACAGTTTGGGACAAAATATTTTAAGGGTAACTTTTGAACAAAGCAGGTAGTTTGTTAAAACAACAGCACACATACAAAACTTATATAAACTAGATGAATGCCCAGACTCCAGAACAACAACACACATACACAACTTATATAAACTAGATGAATGCCCAGACTCCAGAACAACAACACACATACACAACTTATATAAACTAGATGAATGCCCAGACTTCTGAACAGTGTTGGAGAGAATGCAAATTATAATTATAAGTTTATTGGGCAGAAGACCTTTGCACCCACCATCACCCCAAGCATTAACATAACATAACCAGGCAACAGACTTGCTTAGCCGTTGCCTGTTAGTGTTACAGTTTGTCCCCAGGTTAACCACTGCAGGCTTAGCACAGTGCAAGGCTAGGGGGTTTCAGATTCGAATAGGAGTAGAATAAAATTATTTATCAGAATTGTGTTTTGAAATTATTTTTAAAAAAAAGTAAAGCAAAGTTGGGAATAGGTATATTCACAAGGTTGGGAGTAGGTACATTCACAAAGTTGGGAATAGGTTTAGAGTGGATGGTTTAGACAACACTTCAGGTAGGTATATTCACAAGTTGTGAGAATAGTGGGTGCTTTCGACAATACGCCAGGTGCTCATCGTCATATGTTAAAGAGGAAACTTTTTGAGAATAGGTGTCTCATGAAACTTCTTTTTAACTGCCATTTTTTGCTCACCCTTCTGGCTGCAAGGCTATCAGACGAACAGAGGAGCTTACACTTGAACAGGAGAATACCATAGGTCATGGACAAATGGTCACACATTAAAACCACTTCGGCCAATTTCAAAGAGTGCCTTAGTTTAGTTTATTGTCACGGTGTAGGATACTTTGACAAGAAACTGTGGTCTTTTAAACTTGGTGATCAAATGAAATCATAGTTATTAAGGGTATTAAAATATTAAAAAAGGTTTGTTCCACACAACAGCCTGTGAAGATGATGTAATGAAATTTCTCAGCTAGAAAGTTAATCTTCCTGATGCCTGGTGATGTCACTGAGGTTGGGGGTGGGGGTGGGGGAAAAGGGGAATCAGATTGCACAGCAGGATGACTGGAGTACCAATTTTCAGACTGAGATTGTGTGGTGGAATCCCTGGTGGGTTATAAGCCAAAAGGAAGTTTACAGGGTAGAAAACTACATTCACTAACTCCACCACAGAGTCTGCAGACTGATACCTCATCATCTCAATGCGGTTTCCGCAAAAAACGCGGAACCATCGATATGGTGTTTGCTGCTAGACAGCTTCAAGAGAAATGATGAGGTTGATCCAATAAAAAAATCATCAACGATTGCTGCAGAGTTGTTCTTGTGTTTCAGAATAATTGGTTCCTTAAGCCAAGTCTTATTACCAGTGTGTAAATTGTCCAAATCATTTCCCTTACCTACTGCTGCCCCATAATCCAATAAACAAAAGGTCATTAATAAAATATAACAACAAAATTTCTAGATCGACACCAAATTTTTCTCCCACTAAATAAATCAAATTTCCAAACTATTAATAGTAACCATGTATCATCCTTTTGGTCATTTTAGGCTCTTAAAAGCTGAATTAAAAAATTAAAAAACTTCTCAGTGCACTTCTAGAGTATAAGACTAATAACAGGAATCTCCATCTCAAACTTCAACTTCATAGGGCTTGTTGTTCTTGAGATATTTCCATCAGTGAGTGGTTATTTGAAAGATTCTTGAGTCCTAAAATAGGATGCTATTAACCTATAATAGATTTTTCAAACTAACAACAACAAAAAAAGGGAGAATAACTGACAGATCGGGAGTTATCTACCTTTGTTATCAGAACTCTGTAAGACTCTAGCAAGTTTTCATTGTCGTGGCAACCAGCCAGCAACAACCAGACCTCCCCACGCAGTGCCTCAGGTATGGTTTTGCGGACCAACTGTGTGACTTGCCGAGGACGGGAAGAGAGGTTCTTTCGCCATCTAGACAGCATCTCTGCCCATGCTTCGAGGAGGTTCTCATCAGTGACCTCCTTACTGACAATCCCGGATCCACTGAGTAGGGGCTCATCAATATCTTAAGAACAGAGTTTAGTCAGCATACAGAGAAGCCATGAACATCATATCTTAAGAACAGAGTTTAGTCAGTTTATAGAGAAATGTCAATGTATTTATGAACCTAGTTATGACCAGGAATATTTTTAACACTTGACATAGATGGCATACTGTGCAAATGATGAATACTTATTTAGGTGGTACAAACACAAGTTTATCAATAGATTCATTATCTTTTTTGATGATCAATCACTTAGTACATAATGGGATGATCAATCACTTAGTACATAATGGGATGATCAATCACTTAGTACATAATGGGATGATCAATCACTTAGTACATAATGGGATGATCAATCACTTAGTACATAATGGGATGATCAATCACTTAGTACATAATGGGATGATCAATCACTTAGTACATAATGGGATGATCAATCACTTAGTACATAATGGGATGATCAATCACTTAGTACATAATGGGATGATCAATCACTTAGTACATAATGGGATGATCAATCACTTAGTACATAATGGGATGATCAATCAGTTAGAAAATGATTAGATGATCAACGAGTTAGTACATGATTAAGATGATGTCCAACTGATCTCTACTAACCAGAGTCTTCCTCCTCTTGAGGTGTTTTAATAGATTCTGCTGGTGCCCTACTGGTCCCACTGAGGTTCAAGGTCATGTTGTGATTGCGTCGCTCTAACTCCGTTTGGCTTTCCACTTTCACAACTTCGTAGCACTTGCCTTCACCGTTACCTTCAACCTTAGGAAAGAAAATAATTGATATGAATATATTCTTTTTTTACATGAACATATTAAAATGCTGGGATAGGGGACATACCATGAACATACAATCTGAACAAACCATACCATGAACACACCATACCCTGAACACACAATATGAACACACTATACCATGAGCATACACTCTGCACACCACACCATGAACGCACACTCTGAACACACAATACCATGAACACACCATACCTTGAACACACAATATGAACACACCATACAATGGTCAAAATCTGAGCAGACAAAATATGGTCACAATATCTCAACAAAACATACCATGGCCACAATCTGAATAGCCCTCATCTTTGTCACAGTCTGATCTCACCATACCATAGTCACAATATGAATACCCTACATCTTTGTCACAGTCTGATCTCACCATACCATAGTCACAATATGAATACCCTACATCTTTGTCACAGTCTGATCCCACCATACCATGGCCACAATCTGAATACCCTTCATCTTTGTCACAGCCTCATCCCACCATACCACGGCCACCCACCTGTTTAAGTCTCACACTGAACTGCTCAGTGTAGCCTTTGCGACTCAGATACCAAAACTTCTCCGACACAGGGTAGATCTTGGCTTTTGTTTCCAAAATAAATCGTACAGGTTCCTGAATCCCATACAACACTAAGTCGACTGCCACTGTCAAGAAGACTCGAGTGTCTGAAATTGGCAATCATTAAACAAGAAAAATACATTAAACCAGCTTGGCTTTGCTTTTGTGAAATAAGCATGTTTGCCCCCCCCCCCTTTTTTTTTCTCTTCAACTCTAGAGTAGTTTATACACATCTGGGATATTTTCTTCAGCTGTAGTATAGATTGATGGCTGCAGCCCAAAGGTTACTCCATACAATTACTTCTGTGAGTAAATAACTCAGATGAAAAACCATTCATTTCAAGCATTAGTTCCCACAAATGAAAGGATCCTGCAGTCACACCAGTGTTGATACAACCAGTTGACCATTGCAGTGTTTCTATTTAACAAATAAGACACACTAAGTTAGATGAAGGAAGTTGAATAAATCTATAGAAATGGGTCATATTAATACATGGAAGGTGTAACCGGAGCCATTGTGTGGGTCCTGCTACCACTGAGCCATTGTGTGGGCCCTGTTACCACTGAGCAATTGTGTGGGCCCTGCTACCACTGAGCCATTGTGTGGGCCCTGCTACCACTATGCAATCATGTGGACCCTGCTACCACTATGCAATCATGTGGACCCTGCTACCACTGAGCCATAGTGTGGGCCCTGCTACAACTGAGTCATGGTGTGGGTCCTGCTACCACTGAGCCATCGTGTGGGCCCTGCTACCACTGAGCAATGATGGGACCCTGCTAGCACTGAGCCATTGTGTGGCCCTGCTACCACTGAGCCATTGTGTGGGTCCTGCTATCACTGAGCCATCATGTGGGCCCTGCTACCACTGAGCCATTTTGTGGGGCTGGTACCACTGAGGCCTCATGTGGNCCATTGTGTGGGGCTGCTACCACTGAGCCATCATGTGGGCCTTGCTACCCCTGAGCCATTGTGTGGGCCCTGCTACCACTATGCAATCATGTGGACCCTGCTACCACTGAGCCATTGTGTGGGCCCTGCTACCACTGAGCCATTGTGGCGGCCCTGCTACCACTAAGCCATTGGTTGGGCCCTGCTACCACTGAGCCTTTGTGTGGGCCCTGCTACCACTGAGCCATTGTGTGGGCCCTGCTACCACTGAGCCATTGGTTGGGCCCTGCTACCACTGAGCCATTGTGTGGGCTATGCTACCACTGAGCCATTGTGTGGGTCCTGCTTTCACTGAGCCATTGTTTGGACCCTGCTACCACTGAGCTATTGTGTGGGCCCTGCTACCACTGAGCCATCGTGTGGGCCCTGCTACCACTGCTGCTCCAGGGGGCCTTGTATTTTTAAGAGGTCCAAAGTTTTCATGTAGAAAAATATTTAAGACTATAATCTGTGAGTCCAAAAGAGAGGGGGGGGGGCCCAATAGTGTAAGACGGCCTCCAAAAGTCACACAACCGCTCTTCATGCGACCTACCTTTTTCTGTCTCAGTATTAAGTATAGCAAAGCATTTCTCGGATGGATCCCAATGTCCGGTCACATTGTAGACTTTAGTATCAGGGGTGTAGCTCATGGAAACCTGAAATGGAGGGGAACAAGTGGATGATCAAAATACTTCACAAATGTTGAATAAGAGAATCTATTGGAATACCTAGAAATAGACATCAATGTACAGTGCCTGACTTTTTGCCTATCTATGCCCATGGAGTGGCAGTAAGGTGTTCATCATTGTGGCAGTGAGGTGTTTATCATTGTGGAAATTGGGGCGTTAATAATTATGGTTTCTACACACTTCCATTTCTCCCCAATCATCTTGTCATATTGTGTAATATGCTTAATCCCCTGCGAGAAACTGACTGACTCACCAGCTCTATTAACTGCATGTCACTGTGTTGTACATTTCTTCCAGGGGAAATGAGCAGACCAAAACATCTGAAAGACAAAATACCTTTTTTTTAAAGGGTATAGATGTGGATTTGCCATAATAAAGTATCTCAAATACATACAACCCCCAAGGCGTAAATCAAATTTCTCAAATACATACAACCGCCAAGGTATGAATCAAATGTCTCAAATACATACAACCCCCAAGGTATGAATCAAATGTCTCAAATACATACAACCGCCAAGGTATGAATCAAATGTCTCAAATACATACAACCGCCAAGGTATGAATCAAATGTCTCAGATACATACAACCCCCCAAGGTATTAATCAAATGTCTCAAATACATACAACCGCCAAGGTATTAATCAAATGTCTCAAATACATACAACCGCCAAGGTATGAATCAAATGTGTAAAATGCATACAACCCCCCAAGGTATTAATCAAATGTCTCAAATACATACAACCGCCAAGGTATGAATCAAATGTCTCAAATACATACAACCGCCAAGGTATGAATCAAATGTGTAAAATGCATACAACCCCCAAGGTATAAATCAAATGTCTCAAATACATACAACCGCCAAGGTATGAATCAAATGTCTCAAATACATACAACCCCCTAAGGTATTAATCAAATGTCTCAAATACATACAACCGCCAAGGTATGAATCAAATGTGTAAAATGCATACAACCCCCAAGGTATAAATCAAATGTCTCAAATACATACAACCGCCAAGGTATGAATCAAATGTCTCAAATACATACAACCCCCAAGGTATAAATCAAATGTCTCAAATAAATTCAAGTCCCCAAGGTATGAATCAAATGTCTAAAATGAATACAACCCCCAAGGTATAAATCAAATATCTAAAAAGAATACAACCCCAAAGGTATAAATCAAATGTCTAAAATAAATTCAAGTCCCCAAGGTATGAATCAAATGTCTCAAATAAATTCAAGTCCCCAAGGTATGAATCAAATGTCTAAAATGCATACAACCCCCAAGGTATAAATCAAATATCTCAAATAAATTCAAGTCCCCAAGGTATGAATCAAATGTCTAAAATGCATACAACCCCCAAGGTATGAATCAAATGTCTCAAATAAATTCAAGTCCCCAAGGTATGAATCAATAAAATGCCCCAAAACAATCAAGCCCAATGTATAAATCAAATGACAAACATATTCTATTGATTCGGCAGCAGCTGCTTTACATTTAAGTAATTTGCATTGTGCAATAATTTTTTAAAATCTAGAATCCTCCTATGGTTTAGTTTTATTACATAATTAGGTGTCACTTTTTATCTCCATCAATTGAGAATAACAGTTTCTTGACTAGATTTGCCTGGATTGAGTTCAGCAAATTATTGGGGGTAGGCCATGAAGTGACATAGCATTAAAATGGGGTGACTAAGTTTGCCTTGTTAAAATGTGCATTGCTACTAGCTATGAGCCTTGTTAAAATGTGCATGCCTTCTATCTATGAGCCTTGTTAAAATGTGCATGCCTAGTAGCTATGAGCCTTGTTAAAATGTGCATGCCTACTACTAGTTTTATAGTACTAACTATGAGCTCAGTTTTTCACTTTTACCTTTAGCATTTTACTTAACAATTTTTGTTTGTTTGACCCAAACTTTGGATGTTTAGTTTCTCATTTTGTATATGTTCAAGTACTGAACTCTTCATGAAGAATAACATGGCCAGGATATCCTGCAATAACATGGCCAGGATCTTCTGCAATAACATGATAAGGATCTTCTGCAATAACATGGCCAGGATCTCTTTCAATAACATGGCTAGGATCTCCTGCAATATCATGATTAAGGATCTACTGCAATAACATGGCCAGGATCTCTTGCAATAACATGGCCAGAATCTCCTGCATAATATGACCAGGATCTCCTGCAATACAATGGCCAGGATCTCCTGCTATAACATGGCCAGGATCTCCTGCAATAACATGGCCAGGATCTCCTGCAATAACATGGCCAGGATCTCCTTTAGACAAAACCATTCCAGAGGTAAAATTAAAGTATAATTCTAAAATAAAATAATAAAAAAAACAACAACTTTTGATTTAACCCATCCGATATGTTTCGCTGAAGTGTGCGTCACCCCAATTACTGCTGAATACGTTTTGATGCAGAGTGCGTCAATCGCTGGTTTGTTTCATTCCTTTAGGGTTTTAACTTAAACAGTCAAAGTTTTTATTTATAGCTTTACAAACTTTTATTCAGAAGAGTTTCAACTACCTCTTTGTGAATTTTCTATCTGATTGTACCAGGTTTTGTCTATTATTTGCTAGTTTTTCACTATCTAAAAATTTTAAACAAACATATGCTGATTGAAATGGCTTCAACAAGTGGTACTAATACTAATATTAGGTCTGCTCGCTCAAGATTTAGATGTATGACTACTGAAATAGCAAGCCAATTACTTAGCTTGGATGATTCATTGGACTCGAATGAAAACAATGGCCCGATTTGTTTATATCAGACCCGCACAACTCAAAATATAAGGCAGGCCGGAACAGTTTATGAAAAATAAGTGCGGGCCGTTTGTGTGGGCCGAAAGATGATAGGACAGGGGGGGGCGCTATTAAGAAAATAATAATAATGCAGACTATTTCGATACTTCGCGGGTCACCGAGTGTCGTATGTTGTGCAGGCCTGGTTTATATAGTTTGTAAATATGTGTAAATATTTGTGTACCAGACTGGAATAGTTATTTCTATTATTAACTTTTGGAACATTTATTCAAGATTCAAGGCTCATATGTTGAAAAAATTCTCTTGATTGAATTATTCTTCCATGATTTATTGGTTGGTGAGTAGAATTGTAAATACATTTATCGCTCTTTAATAATAAAAAATTATTTCTTGATCAATTAGTTAAATTTTGATATGCTACATGACAAAGGTTTGATAAACAGAAAGCTGGGATTTATTTTAAGTAAAATCAGGTCGAATGGAATTTTAGTCCCTTAATTTTACTACTATTAGTACGTTCCACTGTTTAATAGTAACATATTGAATGGGTTAATCCATTTAATTTACCTCTCTATCCTGAGTTCATGTGGCCCAGACTGCTGAACAGATATCTGCAGGCGTTTCTCTGTGTTCACTCGGAATTTAAATCCATCTTTATCTTTTGGGCATGCCGAAAATCCACCTTTGCCGTCATCCTCACGGAAATCGAGACTGACGGAAAATGTAAATGTCTGCTCTGTACTGGAAAATGAAGCCTCAGATGACTTCTGAGTTCTTGGTATCCTCCGAAAAGTGTTTGCAAAACAGTAGAGAATTTTAGGGACCTATTTTTAGATGCATAACAAAATTAAAGTCATCTTTGCATGACATCCAAAGATTTGGAGATAAAACAGACAAGACAGATCTCTCAGTTTTATCTGCCCTGTGAGTAATAAAATTGAGAAGTTTTATAAAGTCTTTGCATTCTTGTGAACAATGAAATGTAGAAAACTAGAGATTAGCCCAGCTTCCAATGTAGAAAACTAGAGATTAGCTGAGCTTCCAGTGTAGAAAACTATAGATTAGCTGAGCTTCCAGTGTAGAAAACTATAGATTAGCTGAGCTTCCAATGTAGAAAACTACAGATTAGAGGAGCTTCCAGTGTAGAAAAAAAAGTATCAATTGTTTGTGTCCTCGACCATATGCAGTATGCAAGCTTTATTAAATTGAATTTTATTTTTTTATGCTGAAGTTTTGTTCTTTCTTTCTTTAAAAAAAAAAATTTACAGATAAATAAGTAAAAAAATGTTGAGTCCATTTTGAGATTAAATACTGCATACAAACATGTCTTAATTTCTATGTGTATCGGTATTACAGGGTGTCTGTGACAGAGGGAGGGAGAGATGGGGAGAGAAAGAGGGGGGGGGAGGGATGAGAGAGGGGGACGGAGAGAGAGAGGGGGGGAGGGAGAGACAGAGAGAGAGGGAGGGGGGGAGAGAGAGAGGGGGAGAGGAAAGAGAGGGGGAGAGAGAGAGGGAGAGAACTTACTGCGTCAGGGATATCACAGCACGGTATTACAGGGTGTCTGTGACAGAGGGAGGGAGAGATGGGGAGAGAAAGAGGGGGGGGGAGGGATGAGAGAGGGGGACGGAGAGAGAGAGGGGGTGAGGGAGAGACAGAGAGAGAGGGAGGGGGGGAGAGAGAGAGGGAGAGATGAAAGAGAGGGGGAGAGAGAGAGGGAGAGAACTTACTGCTTCAGGGATATCACAGCGGAATACATGGCATTGGAAGATGGCATTTTCAGCACTATCACCATGGCTACAAGTGAATGCAAAGCACTGCCTCTCAGCTGAATCACTTGGTCCCCGGGCACAGAACAGAATCCGGTGGATGCGGAAACTAGCAATATCCGAATTTGATGCAGGGTCCAAGAGTCTGAAACAAACCAGGGGAGTCAACTCAGATTCAAACATTTCAAACGGTCCAGTAAGCTATATGAGGGTATCATAAATCAATACTTGTACAACAAGCGGCTGTTCTAGTTAACACACATAGAGACAAGATGCCAAGAAATATGTGTAAGAGCCATAAACAGCATGCTGGAGTTCTATCTTTATATGCACTTATCTTTTTTTTTCTGTAAGTATGTTTGCCTAGTTCACAGATTTTGAAATGATTGCACTTCTTACAATATTCAAGCACAAAAATCATCTACACTGGACAAGTGATAAATCCATGTACAACCAAGTTGATGTTAAAAAGTGGACATCACTATATAGTCTTTTAAACCTTTGCAAGACATTGCTATAAAATGTAATAAATGAGTGCCTCATGTGAGTCTCATTCTATCTGATTGGATTTTAAAAAAAGTTGAATTGGATTTTTAAAAACTTAAATGTTCAGTTGTTGAAAAAATTCAATGCTGAATCCTGACTTGCACAACGAAACAATAATGCTCTTGCAAAATAGTATTTTACACGTCTTTTTTTTTTTTTTTACACAACATGATGTGGAATCCCATAGCTAAAAGTATTTCTGTTGTTGGTAAAAACATCTATTTAGAAAACTAAAGCAAAGTGTAAAATCGTAGAGCCACACAATGGTGTGCTAAAGCAAAATTGCAAAATAGTATTTTACACGTCTTTTTTTTTTTTTTACACAACATGATGTGGAATCCCATAGCTAAAAGTATTTCTGTTGTTGGTAACAACATCTATTTAGAAAACTAAAGCCAAGTGTAAAATCGTAGAGCCACACAATGGTGTGCTACAGCAAAGAGATGAAAAGAAGGTGACTAATCCAACAAACAGTGTACCCCCACTTTATAGATCAGGCAGAACTAAAAAAAAAAATGAGGCCACCCATCCAACAAACAGTGTGCTCCAATTTATAGGTAAGGGAGAGATTAAAAAAAACAAGGTCTGAGTATTAACACAAAAGAATTTTGTTTTTTGTTACAGCTTTAACTCTTTCCCTGCGGGGCACAATGCACACTGCTTTCATCCGCTGTTCTAAAAAGCACAGACCAATGCGCTGTGCGTTGTTTCAATATCATGTTTGTTTCTTTTTTATTTCTCGGTTTAACTTTTTAAGGGCTATTTTTAAATAAGACTTTTACATAAAGGAGTGGAACTTCATTGTTTGTAAGTGAAACCAAGGTTTATTTGTTGTCATTTGAAGCATTATTTTCATGATTTTCTTTGTGATTTTTTTTCCTACTGTTGCTATGTCGAAGTTTCCTGACGATTAACAGCTCAAAAAGATTTGGAGTTGTTTTATACTATTTCTTTTGATAGTGAAGGTGATTTATATTTATATCCATTGCATGATTCCTTTGGTAGTAGTTTTTGAACTATAGAAATGAAGATCAGGTATGCATACATCATAGCGTTGGGGGGGGGGGGGGGGAAATGGTTCTTTTCTGTTACTAATTTTATTTAAACTGAAGAAATAAGTTTACAAACATATAGTCCATTCAATTATCTTTCATTTGATACCAAGTTTAGTCTTATGAACCAAAAAATAATATGTTAAATATTTCTTCAATAAACCCAATCTCTTACTCATTTTTGCTCTCTGAAAAAAATTCAAATTTTTTCGATAAAAAAATTCCGCAGCAAAAGAGTTAAACTTATGAACATGAGAAGAAAAAAATCCTTAATATTTTTATTATTTAAAAAAAATAATAGCTTAAAGTAAGGTGCTATATATGAGATTTAAAGGTTCATTTTACTGAAAATATTTTAAAAAAAACATTAATGAACCTGGGAAATCTGTCCCCATTGTTTATTTTTGGAATTGGAATTTAAACAAACATTTTTTTTACATCCATGGTAAATAATATGGTCTCTACCCCATCCAGACCACATAGTTGTTTCTACTGCATGCAAAGTTCTAGTAAAGCAAGTCACATCTACAGATCACACAGAGAAGTGGAAGGTAGACTGAAGGTTTAGAGCGCAACATACTCAAGTGTTATGAAAATGGCCTAACAACCAAGCTAAAGTCTTAGGAGAAAGATGTTGTACATGCAGACCTGGTTGACCTGGAACTCACAATATAGTCTCAGCATGGTACTTAACCATCTCAAAATCTTACAATATCATATTGTAATATTAAATAAATAAACAGTTTATTCTCTATAAAAACTATTTGCAAGGCTGGTCTAATAAAGATCACTTCTCAAAGTGGATGACTGACGCTTGTATATTTATATACAGTGCATTATTGCATTACATAAAAATGTACTTGATTTTTCATTAGCCACTTTGATGTACGAAAATGTGGTGGGGGGAGCAGAAATTGAGAATGCCCACCGAATGTATACTTGAATATAGTTTTATATTATTCTAGACTTAATCGCATTGCTTGTGAAAAAATAGGTTTTACCTAGTTTTGTTGACATAAATCCTTTTTATTTTAGTAGCTAAAAAACAGAAAAATTGTTTTATAATTTATTACTTAGTTGTTTTATAATTTATTACTTAATTGTTAAATAATTTATTGCTTATTTCAATCTATTTTCAATCCATTAGTCCAAAATGGTGGTGAGTACACCAAAATGGCACAATATGTCCACAAAGAAATGATGTGCGTTTATGCCACAAAAGCGCTTTTTTTTTTAATGATGAAATAAATTCATCTGTGATACATCCGGCGGGCCACAGTATTTAACGTGGCATGCCATGGGTTTCCCATCACTGCATTAAGCCTAAGAGACTGATTTTATATTATTTTATGATTTTATTTTCTGTTTACATATTGCGGTCCAAAACTACAGCAGACATCTCAAAATCGTACATTGTATGCCAAAATCATAAGAATACACAGGTCCGTACCTGCATTAGACTACTAATCTAGCATGTTATTTAACATTCAAATGCTATAACTTAAAAAAATGTCTTGAGATTGTCCATCAGTGACTGCTGATCCTGATAAAGACATTTGCAATCAGTGTGGCCTGTCCTTTCCATCTCAGGTTGCAAAACTCAATAAGGCCCACAGTCAAAAGCACAGGATACAACAGTGACCACACAAGCTGAGGTGGCAGAATTTGGCCCTACTGAGCCTCAATTTGTCAATTGCTCTTGTCTGCCAACAGTGTCAACTGCATCACAAACTTTGCTGAAAGCCTTGCTGGTGGTCTGGCAGTTGATGGCACATTATTTGACTGGCCACAGGCTGTGATAGTTGAGGTTGGGTAAGACAATGAGTGGCTGTTGTACATGGCTATATGCCAGACGGCAAGGTGGTCTGAATAAAGAATATTATACAGAAGGAGACTTTCTATTTATTGGGTTCCTTGTTTTGAACTAAATATATGTTTGGACGACAATAGTGAGCGTTGTGGATTGAGAACATCAGCTGTTATACTCCCTGGAACTTCACACTGTATAATGCTGGATGGGGATGACTGAAAGGGAGTGGGGGTTGGATGTAAGCCACATTAGACAAGCTTGGACAAGGGGGCAGTTAAAAATATTTATTTGCAGATGTCCTTTATGAACCACCAAAGAGACCTACCAACAACGCTTAAGCCCTAAGAGAAGAAACTATCTACACAGGTCGAAGAAAGTTATTTTTAACTGGTTATTCAATATAACCTGGGTTATGCAAGGAACACATTTTAAGATCTCTCTCTCTTTTTTTTTTAAAAGTCCCTTTGATACAACCATATGTTATGCAAAATTTAATTTCGATTAGTTATCTTTTTATTATTAATTTCAGGAAAAAAATTATTTTCCCAGATAAGGTTGGAAATTACTGCACTATGCATGAGGTACTAAAAAAAAAAAAATCTAGGAATTTTTCACTCTTGTACGTTAATTGATGATCTAGTTGGTAAATAATCATTAGGATAAGTAAAAATTTTGGTGTTCTGTGATGAAATACATAAAATAATTTTGTGTAAAAATCTCATAACAAAATACAGAGTTGACTATAAAAATTATTAAATAATTTTGGCAAATTGTGAACTATCATTTTAGCATTTGTAAACATTTTCTTTAAACCTAAAAAAAAAAAAAAAAAAAAGAGATGATTTAATTTATTAAAAATTAAAAAAAAAAAAAAAAAAAAAAAAAAAAAAAAAAAACAAAATTGAATATAAAAATTATTAAAAAATTTTGGCAAATTTTGAAATATCATTTTAGCATTTGTAAAAATTTTTTTTAAACCTAAAAAAAAAAAAAAAAAAAGGTGTGTGTGTTAATTTGTTACAACTTTAACATAAAAAAATAAATATAGCTAGAAAGAATAATGTTTTCAACATTAACTAATTAGTTATAAGTGTAAGAATTTTAGGTTTTCATGAAGCAGAGAAATGAATCTCAGATTAGTACATTGAAAACGGATGCCAGTGATGCATAACACAACACAAAAACATGACCTTAAAAACACTGGAAAAAAACTCCACAAACTCCACAAAGAACACAAATAATTAAATAGAACAAAAACAATGTATCAATATTAACGTAGGTTAAAATGAAAAGATCCAACAGGAAGCTCAATAGAATTGCAAAGGCCAAACTAGTAAAAAAAAGAAAATTAAATAAGAACAAACAAGTTGAGGGTAATACTCTAATACTGTATTAATCCTCGACAAGTTTTAACAAAATGTACAGAATAAAACTGAAGGTAGAATCAATAGGGTCTAAAACATTTTGTCTAAGATATTGACATGATATAAAATACCTTATCTGATTTTAAATTTCAAAAATATAAAAAAAATTAAATGGTAAAATCTGCATACCAATAGGGAGATTTCAATAGGAAGATAAAAATAAAATTAAAATATTTTTAAAAAACTAGAAAGAAAAAATTCCAGACGCCCCCAAAAAAGTAAAATCATGCAAACCAAACTCTGACATCAAGATTGTGTACTGGTGCCAATGATGGTGATGTACATCGAACTAACAAAATATGTGCTTGAGATATTAGATTAGATTAACTTATGCACTGCACATCTCATGTGGCAAAAATGGGAGGAGCTGAAAAAATGGCAACACAAAAAAGTAGGGAAAAAAATTCATGCATACCGCACTAGTTCTCCACTTCTGCTGCGGAACAAAAAAAAAAGGAAAAAGACAAAAACACATTGGAATTAAAACAGAGAAAAAAAATTCAAAAACTATTAACAGAAAAAAAGGAAACAAAAAAAAGTAGGGAAAAAAATTCATGCAAACCGCACTAGTTCCCCACTTCTGCTGCGGAAAAAAAAAAAAAAAAAAGGAAAAAGACAAAAACACATTGGAATTAAAACAGAGGAAAAAAATTCAAAAACTATTAACCCTAATACATGTCATACTTACAGATGGACAAAATACTCTGGAACATTTAGTAACAACAGATACATAACAAGATTATCGGAAACCATGCAATAAACTTAAGTTAATTTTTTTTTTACTGAACAGCATGTTTGTGTGTTTAAAAGACCAGTTCATTTTGTAGTTTAGAGAATATCATATTTATGACTGTTTTATTGTATCATTGATTAAAGGGAAATCTTCTATGGAAAAAAATAATGTAAGCAAAAAAAAAAAAAAAAAAAAAAAAAAAAAAAAAAAAAAAAAATTTAAAAAAAAAAAAAAAAAAAAAAAAAAAAAAAAAAAAAAAAAAAAAAAAATAATGACTAAAAAAATATGGTCAACTATTTTAAGAGCCCGATTTAAGTATTATTTATTGTACTGCTCTGGAATTCTTGAGGATAACAAAAACGAAAAATGTTTGTCAAAGGAAAAAGGATGGGTTATTATTAAGTAATCCTTACCGCTTTTTAAATAACTTTGTCAAATTTGTTTTGGTCATTTTAAATCTGATGACACAGATTTGAAAACAATAGTATTGCAAATTTAAAACAGAAAGACAGCTCAATAAAAGATAGACAAAGCTTACAACAAGCACAAATGGATTCTCCTCATCTAAGGAATATTATAGCTAAAAAGAAAGTAGAATAGCTAAATTAAATTCACATTTCTTAACAAATGCTTTAGATAGGTAACATTTTTATTGTTGATTTGTGTAATTATATCATAATGCTTTTTAGTATTCAAGTAAAGCGGGTGCTTCAAAATTTAGACGTTAACAAAAAGAAACGAAGAGTCACACATAAAGCATTTTAAACTTAAAATTAATGGTTAGAAATTCTGCCTTTTTATTACATGTTCTATTTTTTAAAGTCAATAATTATTCCAGTAAGCAGACCGAGAAATTCTTTTAAATAAGACTATAATAAAATAAAAAATATAATATAACAGTAATATACCATTAGCATATTCTGTTTGATCACAACAGGACCAAATAAACATAACATTTTCTTGCAGAAGGGGGTGATCAATCCATGCCTTTTCTAACTACACTCACATGCCAGCCAGCAGATTCTATGACACAAACACACATACATGGTCAGACTCTAGCGATACTCACTTATCAGCCAGAAGACACTGACACAAACACTGTTAGATTCTAGCAACACAGTTGGACACAAACACACATTCAGTGTCTAGCAAACTTTCAGGTTAAGCTCTGTGCTTGACTCAATGTTAATTATTCTGTCCCATAATCAGACCTACTGTAACTTAATTCTGCAACTCTAGATAGGGTTGGAGGCGGGGTGTGAGTGTCATTGCCAGGTTCATTATTATCAGTGACCGCCTTGCTTTATAAAAGGGAATGTTGATTTTTTAAATTTTTTTAAAAAGCAACACAAAGGAAAAGAAACATTTAAATAGAGAATATAAAATACAACTTTGCTTACATTTGATAAATAAAGACTTATTATAGAATCTGAAGATAACTAGAACACAACAAGGAATTTGACATTGAAAATGTTACAATAATAAGTCAACACACTATTACAACAGCCTGCTCGTCATCTCTCAAATCAAATTTTTTAATATTTATATTAACAAATTGTTACGAAATGCAGTTATAAAACTACATACAATACAAGACAACAGAGGTCAGAAATATTAACATTAACAGCTGATCTTGGGAACTAAAATTTGTCTAAATTCTCCACCCCCCCCCCCCCCCCCCCCCACCTCCAGCCACATTAAGTCTTTAATGTTCAATAGCTCTGCATTTTTTTAAAGAGAAGGCAGAGTAAAACAAAAAAGAATTTTTAAATAGACAAAACTGATTTACAACTGAATTTGGAAAATTAGAGAACAAAAATGTGCCAACACAAAAAAACAAAACCATAATAAAATTAGTGCTGTGAAGTACAGAAATGTCAGCTGTTGAGCGTGATGTGTGCATCAAGTGCATAAGAAATTTCACAGTTTAAACACATCTAGATCTCCTCACCTGACAATGCCTTCTGATGTAGCTGGCACAGACAGGGCCACAGGAATAGCCATTTGACTGTGTTGATTGAGGACAGCCATATTGCGATAAATCTCTGCCTCACTACGAGGCGCATTTACCATGGCACAGCCTAAGTAGGTGACACCATTAAAAATAGTACAGTCCCCATTAGGTATTGTTGGCAGTGAGGTGGAGCGAGCTCGGTCTGAAGATACAAGGAAATATGCACACATAAATAATAAACCCCTTGCAAAACAGTCAAATGGAAGGAGACACTGTGGGCTGTGTAAACAAAAAAATACATATTGAGACTAAAGATATCTGAAGACCTGGAAAATGAGTAATGTTTAGTAAATGCTCACCTGCACTAATGCAATGCATTGGACATCGACTACATCAAATTTCATCCTTTTTTAAAGAACCTTCAAATTAACATTTAATTTACTTAAATTCATTAAAAAAAACTGGTAGCTTATTACATAGAAGGATGTAGTAAAACAAGGTATGTGGAAGCTTGAATCAAACAACAGGACAAAGATAAGAAACTTGCGGCTAAGAGCCTACTTCAACGAACAAGGCAAAGGAAAATACGATAAGAAATAGGGACTAGTTAAAAACTCAAGCGATCGCCATTGTTATTGCCGGAAAGTCTATCATTTCCTTCACACGGCTTGAATGCAATCCTTCATTTATTATCCTTTATTACACAGATTAACAGTCCAACTTCCTCTCAAGAAAAAAAATAAAAAGTAACTACATATCTCTCATTAAATGATACTTTATCTAACAACGATTGAAGAATGCCTTTTAAAAAAAATCGGATAGTCCTTTTTTACTATTTTTACTGACCTGACCCAAGCGTAGATCTATCCTCCTCAACCGGGGTATCAGGATAATTCTCCAGGATGGATGAATTTAGGATGTTCACTGACTGACTGCTGGGAATTACATGATCACAATGCTCTGCCAGATTGTCTGTACTGTCTGACATTTTAGTTTCTGTAGCAGTGGCACTGGCAATCTCCTCACTGATGTCATTGACGTCTGCTGCCACTTTAAGCTTGGGCTCACTGTTAATAACAACGAACTCTTCACTTGTAGAGGAAGTAACCGAGTCACGACTTACAGCATCGTCCATGGTGACCTTGACATTCTTGGCGGTCACAAGCGTTTTAGGAAACCATCATCTTTAAAAAAAAAATTGAAGCCTGGTAAAAGGTACACTTTAAGAGAGGAAGACATTTAAAAACAACAACAAAAAAAAAAGATTTCAAAACATAAAGTATTCATACAAAAAAATTTCACACAAAGAATAAAATAGCAATGACATGAAAAGCATGCCAGTTGAGGGAGAGATTAAAATTTTTAAAAACTTAACATGTGAATTAATTTGTTTAAATATATGAAAAACAATTAATAAAAGGTGTTTAATATATATATATATATTACAGTAAATAAAAACACATTAATAATTAAGATTCTACTAGTTATCTGTAGCTGGAGAATTTGATTTTTTATACTTGGAAAATGTATTAAAATACATTGTTTGTGTACATTTTCATGTTACTTACCTTTAATATTCTTTGGTAAATGACAAGAATTACTGGAGGATAAGTAAAACATCTAAATAGCTCTGAAAATATAATACCATACAGAATTAGTGATACTAATCCAGATTGTTTAGGCCAAACACAAGAAGAACAAAGTAAGGGTTTCAATTACTTCACAAATATCTGAGATTGCCACACATGAGTATTAACTTCTTTTTCTATAAAACTTTAGCTGCTAAAGCTAGATTACTATCTTATTTTTAACATGTTTAAACTCCATTGACAAAAGGTCTTCAAATTATAATAAAATTTTATACACAGAAATGGCAATAAGTAACAACAATCTCTAACAATTAAAATAATAGTAGTATAGTCAAAAAAGTCTTTAATAAAAAAACAAAAACATAAGTAAATAATAAAATAATATTTCAGCTCAAATTATGCCAGAAGTGTTGTGTAAAAATTTCTTTTTAAAAATTGACACAAGCAGTATTCAATGCATTAACAGTGGTTTTCATAATTGTTCCCTTCTCTGCACCTTTGCTATATCCAGGATTTCCCCAATTATGACTAATGCTAAATAGCTAATATGTATTTTTTAAAATTAAGGGATTATTTTAACATAAATAAAACTCATAATTTGATCCTTGAAAACGAAATTAATTGGACAAATCGTAATTAGTTGGATGGATGAGCCTGTCATTATTTTATCAAATCTTGGAATCAAACTGGACACAGCCACCCTCAAACAGGACACAGCCCCCCTCATTTCCTTCTCCACATCCCCATGATAGTTATTTACATTTTTTTTTCCCCACAGTAGCAGACTTAATAACCCCAATTTGCACAAATAAGAAGTCTCAAATGTAAACCAGTAACTCACATAGTAATACCGGTAACTGTTTGCAGAAGTCTCTACAAACAGTTACTAGATGGTGCTCTGCAATAATTAAGTCAATTGTCTTCAAAATTATATTATTAATAATTTGCATGGATTCAAGATCCATTTAATCTCGATGCTCCATACCAATTTACTGCTGCAGAAGAAGAGAATCTGAGATGTCTCTCTACATTGACTACTAAATTTAGCAGCATGGAATTAACTGGATTTTGAGTATGAGTAAAAGATATACCATACCATAAACATACCATTCTCAGTTGTAAAGCTCAGATAATTTTAATTTCATTTAGCAATAAATGGTTATAGTTAACAGAGTGATCGCACATTGGCTTATCATGACATATTTAGGGTGAAATAAAAATATAAAAACAGTTAATAAATCTGGCAACAGTATGTGGTGCAATGAGGAAACTAACTCACTAGTCCAACAAGCTTAAAAGTTTAGTAAACACAGACCTGGATGTAGCGTCCTATCACATTGAATTAAAAATAAAATTAGGAAATATTTCGCTGTGACCTTGCTATATTTATATATATTTAAGTTCTTAATAATTAAATTATTCCACTAATTACAGGGAAAATAACATAAAAACTCTACCAAGTGAATTTTTAAAAATAATTTTTAAAAATTGCTACTTTAAGAAGAAAAAAAAAACAGCAACAACTGAAATAATAACACAAAGAATTACTATTAATATTATTTCTTCAACTTCAGCTGAGAGTTGAAGACTGGACCTATTTAATATACTACTATTAATATTTAAAATTAAGTTACTTGGTAGAGTGTAACAGGCTTAGTTGAGTGTGATAAAACTTATCAATTGTATTAGGCCTTGTAAATTTTTAGAATTTCTTGACAGCTTTAATTGGGAAACATGTTGTAGAGATCCTATGGAGCACTTGGTTATGTGATCTTTTAGTAAACTTTGATTTGAATATTCCTAGGCCAGTGGATGACAACCTGTGGCTGCAGAATAAATATGTCTATTTTCCTTAATAATTGTTTTTTAAAAAAATATATATATTAATCATACTGCATTTAATGCGTTTTAACAATGAGGTGGGTGCATTCAATTTGGGGGTTAAGAAAATAAAGGCTAGTTAGTTAATCTTTGAGCCACAATTTGAAAAGCAGACATCAGTTACTGTATTGTAAATATATTGTTATAGATTTAGTGAAAACATTAATCTTGATCATGGTTTGGGTTTCATTTCTTAGAAGTTGATTGTTTTTCATCCTAAACATAATTTTATAATTAGATCTTTGTTTTCAATTGCAATTTAAGATGTTAAACAGAAAAATATACTTTATTATATACATATCATATATATATCACCCTGGTGGCACGAAACTCAGCTACACCATTGCCTACACTACAAACCTTAGCTACGCCACTGCCTCTGCACACCCTTCTTAAGCCCCTGTAGTGCAGACACTATGGTTGGGTTGTCATACACCTAATATATATCTGTCCAATTACTAGACTACACAAGGCATGATTAATTAGCAAGTTAACAATTTATTTGCACCTCAAAAGCCAATAAGTTTTCATCTGATTTTGCTTTTACATCTATTCTGTTTCCAAAATGATTGCGCATGACGATAAACTTTATAAAAATATATTGAAATTGTAAAAGGCTCTAATTATATTTTATAACATTTACTAACAATGGCCATAAGGGTTAACAGGGAGCCATCCATGAATGATGTCACACTGTTTTGATTGTTTTTTTTAACCCACTCAGCAATTGTAAAAAGTTTGCAACAAAATTTAGACACCTCTCACCACATGTTTAAAACCTCCGGCTCCCTTATGCGTGGGGAAGCGTTATACGCAGTCAGATGCGTATAACCCTGAGCGTTATATGCAGTCGGCTGCGCATAACCCTGAGGGTTATTCCCAGCCGACTGCGTATAACTCTCAGGGTTATACGCAGTCGGCTGGGAATTTAGCCAAATAAGGTTTATTATCGCTAGTTTGGCAATTTAAAAAAAGTATTATGCGTAATTAGCTGCATGATGGGTTGTTTTGAACTATAACTTTTAATGTGTTTAACGTAAAATTTTATTTGAATTAATTTTAATTAATATTGAATGATAGTAATAGCATTAGTATTAGTGCTATTATTAGTATTATTGCTTGTATCTTATATATTATAATTATAAGTCTAAATCAAAGTCTACATTTCTTAGAGTCTAAGCCTAAGCAGATGATTTTTTAAAAGGCATTTCCATGGTCTAAGTCAAGTTCTGTATTCTGATTGATTAGGTTTTTATATGTTGCTATGACCATGTGGTTGGTATTACTGACTAATTCAGGAAACACATTCTATTTATTTTTTTAAAAAATTATATCATTTATGACTTTTTTTTTTTTGGCGACCTAAATGTAACAGTTTTCAGCTTCCATGCAAAACTATAACTGTGTGAAAGTATTACTTACAGTGCCCCCTCTACAGAACCCCCTGCCCCTACAGCTATTTTTTATTGCTACTCTCCACCCCTGATTATAATTACTGTAGCAGAGAAACATTATTTTATCTGCCACAAAATTAGTTCACAACACAAAATATATATTTGATAATTATAAGAATAACATTATAAACATTACATTGGTCAAGTTAATAATTCTTATCATGTTTTAACATTTTTTAGCCAAAACAAAATAAAACAACAAGCCTAGCTGTTTTGCTTCATTCTCGAGAACAAACATAACAACTAACACGTATTCATTCATGGCTGGCCTTTGGCTGGAATTGAACACAAGTCCACCAACTTGAGGTTTGCTCAGTTTATAGTTTATACCATTCGACCACCCAGTCACCCTGATAACGTAGCACCTTTATCAATCGATACTGTAACACAGGAAGAATATAGACCTCACGTGACTTGCCGACTGCGTTTAACTCTCAGGGTTATATGCAGTCGGCTGCGCATAACCACTTCGTTATGCGTGACATCTGTTATGAACCAAAAACAACAATAGAAATGCATCTAAATGACTTGAAATGGAAAGAACACACATATCTAAAATGGTAATGAAAGACTGACAAGATCACCCTTCCATATTATCATAAACTTATAACTTAAGAAGGCCTCTAATTTTAAAATTCATACCATGACCATGCCCTGGCTCAAACCTCATTATGTTATCTAAAGTAAAAAAGTCATACTCATCCTGGTATTTAAAATTTCAACCCTAATACTTCTCTTCTTTCTACAACAAAAGAATACAAAAATTAGAGTGAAAAACCATGGCTTAGCTAAGAGAAGACATGACATAGTACATTAATTACTTAGTAAATATAGTTAGATGAATTATGGATAGGCCTCATCTCATTTTTTATAATTTTTTTTAAAGCCATGGTATGCCATAATTTAATTCATACTATACATTTCATCGTAGAAATCATTGTCAAAGTATAGTCATAGGCCTAATTAAATCATATCTACATAACTGACATAACTAATGATATATAATAAAATATTAATATTAATACCATAATTATAATTATTTAGTATTTGATTTTGTACCTCCAACCTAAGCCTAAACACTAAAAAAAAGTGTAAAATACTAAAATTAAAATAAGTTACTAAATTATTATTGACTATCACTGATCACTATCAGATCACTTACGTTACATAATTCATTTTAATTAAAGTAAAGCAATAGTCAATAGTAATAGTAGGCCTACTACAAAAAAAACCAAAAACCAAAAAACAACAACAAAAACAAAGCAACCACAACTAGTCCTGAGGTCTGAATTTAATGAATGAACATGAATTGAATGACTCATTCAATGAGAACAATAATAATATTAATAATTTACAAATAATAATGAGATGAGAATGAGATTTGCTTGTTGGTCACTTGCTTGGAGTTGGAATCTGATCCCAAGTTTATTCACAATTTGATATTTTATTAACCATTGATATGATTATTTAAGGCTTTGTCATTAGTATAATATTTATAATTAATAATATTCTTATATAATAGGTTATATTTAAGTCATTGTTGGCCTAAATCATCAACTTGACAACTATAACTTATAACTAATAACTAGTATACTATACTTTACTATAATAATAATCAGATTCATCATACGCCCGATCATAATTATACGTTTTGGTGCCGACTAGAAACTATAAAACACCGTACAGCAAATGCGCACATTTGTTTTAGGCCTAATTATGATTAAAATACTACAATTTATTATCCTTTTTTAAGAAATTGTGTTGAACTCACTTTCATTTGTTTGCTCACTTAATTCATTACTAAGTAAAGTATCGTAATCAAAACAATCATTACAATTACACATGGAAGTAGGTGGCGTTCACGATAATGTGACGTCAAAACCATAAGTTTCTTCTTCTTTAAAAAAAAATGTAAACTTGGGTCATTTCAGGTCACTTCCGTCTTACTTTGCAGAGCAGATACAAATTTTCTGATGGATAACAAGAACTAATTTTTTTTTAAAAAGAGAGGAAATCTAGCCAACTAGGAAAAGCGTATGGTGGGGAAAGCTTCTATTTGATGTTCTTTTCAGACGAGGCAGATAGTTGGCTGAGAAATTAAGATTTTCTCTACCCCAAAGTCAAAGTTTCTCCCGTCATAAAGGAACAAAATAATGGTATTATTTATAAATATTTTAAAATAATAGCATAAGTTATTTATAAGGGCAAGGGGCCATCGCCATCAATAAATCATATGATAAAATAAATTAAATATAGGCCTAAGTAGTAGAGATCTAAGAAAGTGTGCCCGTGTGGGGAAGGGAGGTCAGGTGGGCGGGTCAAAAGTTCAAATTTGAAGCCACACATTAATTTTAAAAAAATTATCATTACCTTGCCATCTCTAATGGGCTAATTCTTAGAAATCATCCTGTGACGTCATTTGCGTGTTTATAAAAAAATTATAGTTGCAGTGAATAAGGCTTTTGGTTAGGCTAGGCTGAGGAATCAATTTCGGGTTCAAGTTAGGCATAGTGATCGATTTATTTTAGGGATACATTAATGATTAGTGACAGAATTAACTGGTTGTTCCAACCAAGATGGCGACCATCGCGGGATGATCTCTAATAATTTAACCATGGATGGATTTGGCTTGATGGATCTTACAAAATTTGGCATATATAATCCATCATGATCCAGAAGCAAATACTGGGGTGCGTTGAGGTATAAAAAATATTCCTTTCGGGGCCGGGGTCCCAAATTCATTATTATCAGTATAACTAGTATGAGCTATCCTATATACTCGCATATAAGCCGACCCCCTAAAACTGCTTTAAAATGGCCAGTTTTTGCAAAAACCCGCATATAAGCCGACCATACAATTGTCTAATTTTACTCCATATTTTTGATTCATAGAAATTTGTTACTGTAAAGATGTAAAATGCTTACTTTTATGTTACATACAGTTTGTTTACCTTCGTCCCCCTTCGCTGCGCTGCCTACCAACTGGCTGCCTCTGTTTGCCCTCTTCGTGCCTATGCATGTGATTTAAGGGGATTCCCTTACGACTGCCTTCATTTGAGCGTGTTATTTCTACGAAATCAGACCGTGTACCAATGACATCGGCTTCACCGCTAGCTCTAGCTTGGTTACAGCTCGCCACTGGTGCACACTCAACCACGCAGTCGTGTCACTCTCACTTTACTCTATGCATTTGCGTATTGAGTATTAGTTAGGAAACCATAGATATAGGAAACATTTTCTGTATTTTTAGTATTTTTTCTTAATTTTATGCCACTTTTGACTTCGAAAATGAATTCTCCATGGTAATATTCATACTCAGTATAATTATCAGCTATTCATACATTAAATTCTTTGAAGTGACACCTCTGTATATATATATATAGTAGCCAATATACCCGGCTTTGCACGGGATTGCATTAGGACCTCGATATTGTTGTTTTTGGCTCATAACAGATGTCACGCATAACGAAGTGGTTATGTGCAGCCGACTGCATATAACCCTGAGAGTTAAACGCAGTCGGCAAGTCACGTGAGGTCTATATTCTTCCTGTGTTACAGTATCGATTGATAAAGGTGCTACGTTGTTCATCAACAAATACTCCTACATTAATTGACGGATCTTGACCAAACTTAGCACAAATACACTTTATTGTCCATAGTCAAATACCGAAAGGTAATGAATGAACTCATGGTATCCAATGGAATGGGCCCCGCCAGGGCCTGTCTTTCAACTTGAATGTAAAATAGTTATAGTAGTGCATTAAGTTGTATAATTTTTCGTATTTGAAAAATAATTACGTAAAAAAGTCATTTATTACACATTTCGAGGTGGATATTAAATTTAATCTGGAATTTTCCAGAATGTTCTTTATTTTTCTACAGGGATAAATAATGGGATTTTAAAGCTTATTTAAATGTTAGTTTAGTTCTATTCATTTACACAATTTCATGGGGATTTTTTTCTAAAGTCTAAACATACCCTTTGTAATCTTACCTGGAAAAAAATCCTACTGGAAACATGATCCCTCAGAGAAAGAGGATCACAATGGGGAACTATATCCAACAGTAAATTGGAACCCACTGGTAACCCGATATCATTGGGTAATGGGTTCTAATCGGGATACTATCGGGAAACGGGAACCCATTGAAGAAGAGAATCCTATCGAGAAACGGGCTTCCACCAAAAAACCGGGATCCCGCAGAGATTCAAATACAGATGGGACTGGAAACCCACCGGTATCGGAATCCCAGTGGGATCCCACAGCATTGGGATCCAAACGGATCAGGAACCCACCAGGAAATGGGATCCCATCGGAAAATGGAATCCCTCCAGGATTGAGATCCACCAGGATTGGGAAACTGATGGGATTGGGAATCCACTGGCCCCACTGGTATTGGGATCCATTAGGTATCTGGAACCAGTTGGGATTGGGATCTCCCCAGGATCGGGATCCCATTGGGAAACGGGAACCCATCAGAAAACGGCATCAGGAACCCTCGAGGATCAGGATTTCACAGGGATCATGATCCCGCCGGGTTTGGGATCCAACCAGAATCAGGTACTCATCAGAAAATTGGATTCAATGAGGAAAGTGGATCTGATTGGAATCCCACCCTGATCGGGATACCGGTACCATCGAGGAACAAAAGGTTACAAAAGTTATTATACATGTTTTTTTATAGGAGACAAATTAATTATTTTATTCTTTAGTGATTTTTTTTTTTAACATTATGCTTAATTTCATTGTGAATTAAAAGGCCTATTCATCAAAAGTATATCATGGTCATGTAGTTGTCAAAAAACGGTGATTGGAGTTTTTTGTTCCTGCTCAAAGCTGTTGTTTCCTAAACTTACGCTTAGAATAAAATCCAATGTCACTTTTTCTTTGCAGGTTTGTATTCTGCTATATATATTTTGCGCCCTTTTATCTTGACATAATCTAATGCAGGTTTAGGGATGTTTGAAATCATGTACCCGTACATCATATTATATATTTGGCATATACTTCCAGGGTTGCCAAATAATAACTTTACAAACATAGAGTAAATTTTTTAAACTAAAATGGCCTGTCAAATAAGTTCATAAAAACAATAGGATGCCCTTAAAACATACAAACTTCTACACATAACTTTGGGGTCATAAACGGAAATGGACCATTACAGGCCACAGTGTCAAAATTTCTGTAATGATTATAATCAGAAGTTAATTTGCAATGTTGGAATGTCATACACTAAACTGTAGATATAAATTATTCTAAGAGAAGATATTGTGAAAATTGTGGATATTTTAAATAAGCATTGCTGGTTCATTTTATTGAGTTGGCATCATTGGTTTCTGGTCATATATAATTTAGAAAATCTAAAGCATTCCTTTCAAGCGACATTTTGCAGCAAGCACAGTCAGTAGTCACAAATTAAATTCTAATGAACTTGCTAATACTTTGACATGTTACTTTTTTTATTCACAGCGTGAAATAATTTCAGTTCACATTGGACAAACTGGGGTGCAATTAGGAAATGCATGTTGGGAACTTTACTGTCTTGAACATGGTGTTGACCCCACTGGCTTTATGCCATATGGCCTGACTCTTGGAACAGATGACTCTTTTAACACCTTCTTTGAGGAAACTGGTGCTGGCAAACATGTGCCCAGAGCCACATTTTTTGACCTTGAACCAACTTGTGTAGGTCAGTTTTTAAATTTTGCCTTGTGTCTGTCAGTTTTTATTGCTTCATCTCATTTGTCTTTATGAGAGAAATGGTGGATCAGTTATAATAAATGATTCAACATATACCACTTTATTTTTAATCATCGGAAGCCATTTCATTATTATAGAATAATTTTTCTTACTCACTTATGTTTTTTGTCCCGTCTGGGGCATAGGCCGTCTAAAAGAGTTTTCCACTCTTCTCAGTCCTGTGCATTCCTTCCCAGTTGCTTCCAGGTGTATCCCATACTTAGTGTATCTGCCTCTTGCTCACATTTCTATGTATTCTTTGGCCTTCTTCTCTTCCTTTCTCCATGTGGGTTCCATGTTAGGGATTGTGTGGTGAAGTTTCTGGGGTTTTATGAAGAATGTGCCCAGTCCACCTCCATCTTGTCTTTTTGATGTCTTCAGCAATAGGCTTTTGGTATGTCTTTTTCAGTAAGCCTTTTTTAGTGATGATGTTTGTACATTTTATGTTCAGGATCTTTTTAGGCAAGTGTTTGTGAAGGTCTGTACTTTCTGCATGAAGTCAGTAACTTTTTGTGATCTAAATTCTAAGTCAATTTATTAATAATTTTTTTTTCCTTTTCAATTTTCAGAATGGAACTCTCTTGAATTTGAAATACTAATATTAAAACCTAAAATTATGAACATCAATGAATAAGAAATGATTTTCATTTAGGGTAATTTAGTAATTTTTGTATGTTTAAGTCAAGTGAGAAACTTAATTTTGTGTTACAGATGAGATAAGAAATGGTACATATCGTCAACTGTTCCATCCAAACGCTCTTATAACTGGAAAAGAAGATGCTGCAAACAATTATGCTCGCGGTTACTACACAAAAGGGGCCGAAGTTGTGGAAATTGTTCTTGATAGAATAAGAAAGCAGGTAAGATAACATTTTTAATGAAAATATTTTTTTTAAAGTATTTCTTTAATAGAGACAGTGTTTGAGCTCCTGGTCTCTTCTTAAATATTGCATCTTCTATCTAAATTGGAATTTTCCTACCTAAGTGTGTCCACATGGGCATGGGCACTCTTCTACCCAAGTGTATCCATATGGGCACTTTCTTACATAAATGCATCCACATGAGCACTTACTTACCTAAATGTGTCCACATTGGGACTTTCCTATCTAAATATGTCCATCCACAAAGGCACTCTTCTATCTTAATGTATCCACATGGGAACTTTCTTATATAATTGCATTCACATGGGTACATTCATAATAATGGCACTCTATACCTAAATTCATTAAAAATTACAAGATAGAGGTGGACTGGGCACATTCTTCATAAAACCCCAGAAAACTTCTCCTAGCATAAGCACTTTCACAAAAGTACTACCATAGTTGTTGTAGGGATTTTCTCTGTTTCATCAGAGATCTATCATATGCAAATGGGCTTTCAGCAAATATGGCTAGATCCATTGATGAAGGGTAGGCCCATGTTTGAAGGAAAGAATAGAGCAGTCTATAATCTCCCTTAAAAAGTTGTCTATTCCTCTCTTAAACCTATTGTAATACAGTAGTGATCCTCCATCCTGTTATATCATTCACGATACTTAATTTTTTTTAAACGTATGTAACTGAATCAGGTTTTAATGTAATGTTTTTTTTTTAAAAAAACCAAAAAAAAAACCCCATAAAACCCACAATTTTCAAAGCTCTTGAAATTTATATTTAGGAAATAGTAAATCATTATTTTCAAAGAAGAATATTTGTATAGATATTTAAATTTCTTTAATCATTGTTTTTTTTCTTCTATTTCCGTATAATATAAGCCAGCCGAACCCCTTTTCAGACATCTGAATTAAAAAGAAAACATAATTTCTAAAAATTGTAAAATCATATCCTTAATTAAATTTTTAAAAAATGTGTACCAATTAAAATATATGTAGCATTAACGGATTTTGATATATTGGCCTCTTCATTTAAAATTCACTCTGCCTTGCTCCTGATTTATATTATTGGAAAATCATTAAAACATGAATTCTTTGAAATGAATATTTAAAGTCTCATCTCTTAACCAATTTTCTCGTCTGTGTAACAGTCTTGAATTTTTTAATAACTATTCTAAGGTTCATAGTTTAGGGGCATGGTAATTTTTATTTTGTGCTGATGGAACAACAAATATTTCCTCACATTAAAGAAAATCTTAACCCCTATTTGTTTACGCCCCTGAAATGTATTTTTGGAAAATGTGTTTATTTTTAAAGATTAAATTTTCACATCTGTAAAATGAGTGGGTTTTTAGATGTTATTTTTCAACATAAAAATGTTACCACTCTTGTTTTTTTACAAAATTTAAATTTATTTTTAAAAAATGTTCACAAAAATTTATGTAATATTAATATAAACATATTGACAATATTGTTATGTGTATAAATATTTGTCCATCCCTTATTCTCGCCCCTGAACTGTATGTTTGGAAAAATAAAAAAAAAAATGTTATCTTATCAACTGTTTTCCCCTTTTCAACTTATATAAATGTGACCCCAATATGTCGACGCCTTTGAACCCCATTTTGCGACATTATTAAAACACCTATTTATTTATTTTGAAAGAAAATATAAAATCTCTTTTTACACCTGTAAAACCATTTGGTTTAAATATATTGTTATTCACATAAAAATGTACAATTCCTTTTTCCTCCCACTTAAATGTGTTTTCGGTAGAAAGTTAAATACATTATTTCAGTAGTCTTAAACAGGGGCGTTATTTCAGGGGTTTTTTTTGGGGGTGGGAGAGACCAAAACTAGGTCGGCTTGTTAAGTTGTTTATTACTGGAGGGGTTACAGTATATGGCAATTTAAATAAAACCTGCAAATTCAGAGGGGGTGGGGCGGGGGCAAATGCCCCATGCTGCCCTACCCAAATGACATTCCTGGTATCTAAATACCAATTTCTGTTCTGTAAACTATTTGAACTTTCAGATATTGCTACACTCATCAAATGCACCTACCCGCGTTGTGACATAGCTTGTGCTTCCTTGGACAAAATAAAAAAATCGCAGCCACCTCCCCTCATCCCCAAATATTTTAATTAACATTAATAGAAGCATCCAGGGATGGCAACTCCCTTAGTAACACAATCACACACTTTTGGCCTAAACCCAAACTACATTAATATTTGAACGTACTTAATTTTTCTATTTAAAAAGATAGTTCATAGCTTATTTCCATATACCTGTATTTAAAGAATAATCTACATATATTTTATATTTAAATTGATTAGATTTCCGTAAAATAATACAAAATCAATATTATTGTTTTTAAGAATTTATGATTAATACCTATGTATTGAAGATAACTTAATAATTACATAAAAGCAAGTATGTTATTTAAATTGATTAGCTTTCCATAAAGCAATTAACAATTCCTATAGTTGTTTTTTAAGAATTTGAGTGTATTAAAATTCACTAGATTTCTGTAAAATAATAGAAAATCACTGTCATCCTTTTTAAGAGTCCTAGCATTCCATTGTTAATGCCTTTTAATATATACCTGTATATGATTTGGAGACATGGATCACAAGCTTTATATCAAATCACTATACTCATCAATCATGATATGGAGAAGTCCACAACCTTTTTATCATTCATGATGTGGAGACACTGATCAAAACCGTTATGTCACTGGAACTTTCAGGAGATGGTGGTTAATGTTGATAGCCCATTTTCATCACATGGCCTCATTGTCTCAGGAAAGCATAGACAGGCAGTTGTCATCACATTACCTCATTACATCAGTAGAGCATAGACAGGCCATTGTTATCACATGACCTCATTACATCAGGAGAGCATAGACAAGCCATTGTTATCACATGGCCTCATTACATCAGGAGAGCATAGACAGGCCGTTGTTATCACATGGCCTCATTACATCAGAAGGGCTTAGACAGGCCATTGCATTTGTATTCCCATGGTGTCATTAATATAAAAGTTCTCTTCAGTTTTTATTTTGACCATTACAATGTTCTCTATTCAAGCCTTAAGTCACTTTCCTCAACATGATGTTTTGATGAAAGAACATTCGTCTATTTCCAGGCTGAGCAAAGCACAGGACTCCAGGGTTTCTTTCTGTTTCACAGCTTTGGTGGTGGGACTGGATCAGGATTCACCTCTTTGCTCATGTCCAGAATGAGAATGGACTATGGCAAAAAGAACTTGATGGAGTTTGCTATTTACCCTGCACCAAATGTAGGAACATTCAAATGCTTTATATGTTGTATACAATTAGATGGCTTAACCACGTCTTAATCCCTCCTGTGTTAGCCCTTCTTGCTTAATTCTTGACAAACTGTGATCTTTAATGGAACTTAGAATGTAATGTTAATGGCCAAAAAATACAAACTGACAAAAAACTTGATTTGTGGCACATGGGCCTAACATATGTGAGATATAACTATGACAAGCCTTTCTAACATGCATGCAGCCTAAAAACTTCCTGTTTCCTTTATTCAAATAATGCCATGCTGGAAGTCTCAGGAGCATGATTTTATTGCTATTGTGAAATAAAAAAGAGAAGGATGTGCTAAGACACGGTATGCATTTGGTCACATAATGTTTGTACCCTTGAAAAATTAGTCTCAATGGCTGATAATGAGTTTACTACGAACTTACTTTAAAAAAACACAACTTTTATTGAATCATTTAAAACAACTTTACAACTTGTGAATAGCTACACTGGATATCTGCATTGTCTATTATTCACTAGATATCTGCATTGTCTATTATTCACTAGATATCAACCGCTGTTGTTGAACCTTACAATGCTGTTTTAAACACCCATGCTTGTCTGGAAATTAGTGACTGCTGTTTCATCTTTGACAATGAAGCTATCTATGAAATATGCAGACGCAACTTGGATATAGAAAGGCCCACTTACACTAACCTAAACAGACTTATTGCACAGGTAATAAAAGTATTTTACACTGCATTGTCTGTAGGGTAAGGGGCCATCCATAAAAGAAGTCATGCAAATTTTGCCGATTTTTGACATCCCTCAAATATAACGTCACAAATCTCTGCAACAGCCCCCCCCCCCCCCCCCCTAAAAATTCCCTGTGTCCACTACTGTCCTTTACAAACCCTTAAAAAATTCACCTCCCATGGATTTCAATTTACTGCACCCCTGTCAGAAACATTTACTATAACAGTGGTTCTTAACCAAGGTTAAAAGTACCTCCCTATTTGCTGCCAATTGCTAAATGTTGCAGCTTTAAAAAAAAAAAACCGTTTTTATTTTTTTTAAATTTTTTTTAAATTCAAAATAATTAAATTTGGGGGGGGGGGGGGGGGGCGGCGGCGGCGCAGCATTTTAAACGGAGTGGGCCTGCAGCGCTGCATGAAGGTTAAGAATCCCTGTCCTAGAGCATTTACTAAGACAACCCCCCCCCCCAACCATTTTTTTTCTCTCATTCCATCCCAATTCTATTCTATGACTCCTGTCTCCACATTTTGACATAAATTCTCTGGACTATCAATGTCAATACACCCATTTTCTCCGACCTGTGGCGGCCTGTAACTTGATCAGTGGCCATTTTTCGTACCTATCAGTGATTGTACTTAATGTTATTAAGCACAATTCTTTAATATTGTGCTTTTTATGTGATGTCACATTGCTTAACCCCCACCCCATTCCTTCTCGCTTGTCACAGAAATTTGCCCCTCGCCCCCTTTTTTTAAAGATGTGTGACGTCATTTATGGATGGCTCCTAAGCATAATTTTGGAGGAAATTTAAAATAAGTATGCAAACTCCAGTTAAATCTATCCTAACCACTCCATACTCAATCAACCCGCCACTGTACTGATACCGATATCCATGTAAATACTCAACACTCAGTGCAAAGTCCACTGTATCAGTAAAATTACTTAGTGCAAAGTCCTCTGTAATGATATCCATGGAACTACTCAATACTGGTACTCTGTTGGATCAACAACTCCCCCTCCCCCCTCAGGTCATATGTAATATATGGATCAGTTCTAAATATACATCAGATAGACCCAGCGAACTTTATTTTAAATTCAGTTTCTTTTCATATAAATCTATGAGCAGGTCATGAGTTCCATCACGGCTCCATTAAGATTTGAAGGATCGCTGAACACCGACCTGACAGAATGGCAGACGAACTTGGTGCCCTACCCTAGGATACACTTTCCCCTGGTTACTTATGCCCCATTCATCTCAGCTGAAAAGGCTTACCATGAATCTCTCACAGTGTCCCAGCTGACATCAGCATGTTTTGAGCCAGCCAATCAGATGATCAAGTGCAACCCTAATCATGGGAAGTACATGGCCTGTACAATCATGTTCCGTGGTGACGTAGTTCCAGGAGATGTCAATGTTGCGATAGCAAATATCAAGTCTAAAAGATCCATCCAGTTTGTTGACTGGTGCCCCACTGGATTTAAGGTACACATTCAAACTGTTGACAAGTGCCCCACTGGTTTTAATGTACAAATTGAAACTGTTGAGTTGTGCCCCATTAGTATTAAGGTACATATTGTAACTGTTGACTGATGCCCCACTGGTTTTAAAATACATATTGAAACTATTGAAAAGTATAACCAAGGTAGATTTCAACTGATAACCAATTAAATTTGGGCCTCTATATTCAGGCATATAACTCTAGAGTTGGGATTCAGCATTTATGCGGTTAGATTATTAATGTCAAGAATGGAATACCATACTACATTTTGAGAAAGACTGAGAGAAACAACATTCCTTTGTTGTGAAGGACTGGAATCCTCACGCAAAGAACACAAGCCTAAAATGCTGTCATGATGACTTTTAGCGAAAAATCCTGTTTCTTGCATTCATGATGGCAAAGTGATTTCTGCATGGTCTAAATTTCTTTAGATGTATCTTGTAGAGAATTCACTTACTTACAAAATGGTATATTACTACCAGGTACTAGTAAAAAAATATATAATTATTCAAGAAAAGTGCAATTAATATTGAATTTTTACATACACTTGCATGTGACCTACATTTATTCAGCCCAACATGTTTTTTGAATTTCAATTCAGTACCAGTAGCTAATCAGTTAACAGCAATAAGTGTGGCATTGGGCGGTTGCCCTGTTTGCCACCCCCAGCACTGGCCCTGCCTCTACTATTATGCCAGCCTTTCTTTTAACTTAGCAGTGAATAACATTCAGAGCCCAGTTACTGTAGACAAGAGAAATTAAACTTAAAAATAACAGTTATATTTATATATATTTTTGTACAGGTTGGCATAAACTACCAACCCCCAACAACTGTACCAGGGGGTGATCTTGGTCATGTTATGAGGGCTGTTGTAATGCTGAGCAACTCAACAGCTATAGGTGAAGCTTGGGCCCGCCTTGACCACAAATTCGACCTTATGTATGCCAAACATGCATTTGTACACTGGTACATTGGTGAAGGCATAGATGAGTCAGAGTTTCTGGACGCAAGAGTTGACTTGGCTGCCCTAGAGCGTGACTATCAGGAAGTAGGACTACCCTCATGATTATCAGGAAGGAGGACTAACCACAAGATTATCAGGAAACCATCAGTCTTTCAATCCATACATTATTTTTTGTACCGGTATTCAGTGTTCAGGTTAGGTTCTTCATGTATAAAAAATAACAAGATAGTGTGCTTTTTGGAAAAGCAATTGATTTGGGAATTTATTTCTAATACATGTACAGTTACTATTTATCACTCTAGATATACAAATACAGATAATACCAGAAGAGTTTTAGAAGCTGTACCATATATTATTATTATTTTATAAGTGCATCAAGTTTAGAAAATACAGCATTGAATTGGAAAACAATTGTTTATTTGCATATTTGTGACATCTGCAATTAAAAAATAATAACTGAAACATTTGTTTATTTTTTTATCATTTTAAATAGAATTAGAATATTATTTTGATTTCTTCAATGTTTTTTCTTTCAGGTCTTGACTCTTGATAGATCTTTTCTTGCTGTCTAATTTTGTCTGGCCATCCACACTGCCCCTGTCTTTGTTGTGTCTAAGATCTGCTGTAAATAAAACCTGAAATAAATAATATTCTTTTGTTTTACTTTGATTTCAATTGTATGGGGGTCATTCATATATTACATATGCACTGGTTGGGGAGGGGGTTGTTTAGTTTGGAGATTTTGCATATGGGGGCGGGGGTGTTGTTTTGCTGTGTTTTTTTTAGACATTTTTTCAATGAATTTCCTTATTTTCTGACAGTCCATAAATGGCCTATTCATATCTCTAATTATGCCGTCACCTAAAACCCCGTGAAATCCATGATTTATATTTATTTTGAAAAGCTATAAAAATATCACTGCATTGCTTCGCATATATCATCATACTGCAGCTTTTTGTTTTCAAAACTAACTCGCAAAATAATACAACAGTAATATTTACCCTAGTGATAACTTTAGTCCAAAGTTGGCCTGTGTATGTCTTCTTCTATATCTTAAGGGCCCACGATCAATTTATTGATCATTTTGGCTCCTATGTTTCCGTAATTATTTTGTTGGGATGAATCAAAGATTGTATTCGCTACGCCACATAGTGTAGAAAACCAGCAGTTGGCCTGTGTTTGTTTCCGGAATTATTTTATTGGGATGAATCAAAGATTGTATTCGCTACGCCACATAGTGTAGAAAACCAGCGACATAATCTTTAACATGGGTAAGGGCAGTGTTTTCCAGGCGCATGGACCAACCTGGCCACTCTCCAGGGGCCGCAAGTACGTAATTCTAGCAACTATGTAGACTTTAATTCATAGAGAGGAGTGGGGGCCCATTGTGCTACTTTTGCTGTATAGACTGCACTAGTTTATAGTAACTTCATTTGATCCTAATTGTGTTATGTTTGTTTATAAATAATTTGAAACAAGTATGTTTGGGGGGGGGGGGATATTTTAATTTTACACTATACATTGAGTGGCTGTCCAAAAATGGATGGGTGCAGGGGGGGGGGGAATATCAGTAAATTGTATTTTTTCGATCCTACATAATACATGGATGACCCCTTAATAAATGGTGCAACGCGATTTATTTCTCTATAAAATTTATATTACTATAATCATGTCTAATATCTAATGCAGCATTCCCCAAATGGTGGACCGGCAGCTGCAAGGCTTGATGCTGGGTCGCAGGACATAAATATGTGCCCCCAAACAATGGAATTCTCTTCCATTACACATCCGCAATATACCGACCATCACAGCCTTCAAAACTGCACTCAAAACACATCTTTTTAAACTTTACTATCCTGACTGATTCCCACCTCTGACCAAAAAACGATGCTACTGGGTGTCATCCATGGCTTGACATGTAAATAGTTTTAGATGTACATTTTTGTTTTATTTATGTATGTCAATTAATTTAAAAAAATAATTTTTTATTTTGTTTGTTAAATTGTATGTAAAGCGTGGTGAGCAATAAAACAACTTGCAATAATAATAATAATAATGTATGGTAAAATAAAAATAAAATATAAATAATAAATCTGGTGCGGGATCTGATGAAATTTCAAAACTTGTTCACCAATACTCAAAATATTAAAGTTTAGTTTAAGTTTGGTGAAATTTTCTCCACTTGCTTCAAAATCTTTCATTCATTTTCTAAAGCAGTATTTCTAAATATGAAACAATATGAGACTAAGCATAAGTTGTGGCTATCTGTAGTTTTAGATTGAATAAAGCAGTTTAATTGTGGTAACAAAAATAGCAATGGAACTATTTCAGTTACCAAAACCAAAGAATAATAATAATATATATTCATAAACTAAAAACTTACCAGAGGCTTCACTAGGATTCTTGTCACCCAGCCCGGTTTCCCCATCCAGACCAGCTGAGAGTAATTTTTAACCAAAACATACAGAATCATATATATTGTTTGTATATTAAGCCCTAAAGCAACAAAAGATGTTTCATAGTCCTCTAGATTTCTTCCATGAACTTCTTCCGAGTTTCTTTCGGCTCTGGTGGCAAACTGATGGTGGAATCCTGCTCTGTTGGCACCCTGTTATGTTTGTAACCTACTCTTTCTGGTGGCAACCTGATGGTGGAATCCTGCTCTGTTGACACCTTTTTATGTTTGCAACCTACTCTTTCTGGTGGCAACCTGATGATGGAATCCTGCTCTGTTGGCACCCTGTTATGTTTGCAACCTACTCTTTCTAGTGGCAACCTGTTTTGGTGCCACTCTCTTCTTGTATTTAACTAAATTTTGTAATGAAACAACTCCACATGTGCAATTTTCCATTAGGTGTCCACCCCCTCCCCCTCTAGTGATGCCACTGATAAGTATCCATATAACTTATAAGTAAACAGATAATAAGCTTGAGTAAAAATTAGTTGCTTTCTTATAATAATTGGTACTTTAACCAATGTTAAAATTACTATTACTCTTGTAATGCCCTTTTAAATACTTAATACCAGGATGTTAAGAGGAGAAATTTTTTATCTGATCATTCATAGATTAATGCTGGGCTTCACTGATACCTGGTACTGATAATACATTTGTTTTCAACATAGTAAATCTAAAAAATCAACATAAATCATACCGAATGAGCCCATCCAGCGTAAGGTCCCCATAATTCTCTGTAAAAATCTCCTACAGACAAAAAGCAAGAAAAAAACAACTCAAACACAGAACACGGAGCAAAACCAAAAGCCAAATGTTTGGTAACAAAAATATGAACACTACTTATTGAAAATAATAAAATAAATTCAGTCTGCCTAACTCTTCCATAATGTCATTTCAAAATAAAAGAAATACTTTGTGAATTATTTAGCCAACTGCTTGTAAGAGACCATCCATATATTACATATGACCTGAGGGGGGAGGAGGAGTTGTTGATTTTGGAGTCCACATCTGGGTGCGTATAGTGGGAAGAGAAGGGTAACAGCAGAACATATATGTTCCTGTATGCATAAATTCTGTTCTGATAATTATCCTGAAATGGTATTATGACCCATGACTAAATTTCATTAAGTAAAACTGTAAAATTTTGTATTCTCTTTAAAAATGACAGAAGGAACCACAGTGCCCTCCATATTTCCCCCTACCCTTTCAACTATTGCTATAACTCACTTATAAACTTAAAGCAACACTGCTATTTGGTTATGCAAGGCATTAACCTGTATTCTTTGTAAGAGTGCAGTGCTTAATTTTCTATCAATCTGTATTTCACTTTACATAAAGAACGGGGAAAAAAAGCTTGACCGTACCTATTTCATTGTAGAGCTTTGGTGTCAATGATTTGGTTGTTTGCAGTTTAGCCATATAATGCCTCATGGTTATTTGCCAAACATGAGTATCTACTGGTAATGCTTCTGGTTTATCTAAAGACATCAAACAAACACAGTCTGCAACCTATTTGACAAATACAAATATATATACATTTAGAGTAGTTCAACATAAATCATAATATTATTAATAGGGCCAGGGCTATTTCAGAGAAGTTTTTATAGCTAGATTTTAGCAGTGAAATATGCAAATACATTTTGTTAGGCATCTCATTTATTGTGTTTATTGAAACTATATAGGTAATATTAAAGGAAAAAAATGAATAGTCACTTTTACATACTTATGAAGTATATAAAGCCTTTGATACTTATAAGACTACAAATAAAAAATAAAATATGCATGATATATATATGCTGGCTGTTTTAACTGAATGAATCTAAAATATAAATAACCATTATCAACCTAACTAGATAAGTAGAGTAAGCATTAATTCTTCAAGTCTATAAATGATATATACAGTTAAATATTTTTGTATAAACCAAATCTATGACTGTAGTGACCATAAATTAATTATTTTTCTTATGATCTGATTCACATTTCCCTTCACTTGATCACCTATTTATGAAGCAAACTAATAAATAAATTATAAACAAGGACTCAATAAATACAGTCTCTTTTAGTTTTTAGATGATGAATTTTAGATCTAATGATTGCCTAGTAATGTAATATGAAATAAAACATCACTGCCTGAGCTATTCATGAAAGCTTAAGGTTATACCAAGGAAACAGAAATTTATAAAATAGGATTTTCACCTTGGCACCAACGCCCGGTAGGGTCATGAGTTCTGCTTTAGCGTCTGTGTAGCTCTTTTCTCGAAGAGATTTTAACCAATGCTCACCCTTCTCTAAGGTTATCTGCTTTGCAATGTTTGCGATGAACTTAGCCCTGTAGCCAAAGCCTAGTTTCCTTAGTTTAGCCTCCACATCATTTTCACACAGATCAGAAAATCCAGGGAATGTATAGTAGTCGATTTCATCCACCTTATGCAATCAATAAAATTAATTACCCTTCAAATAAATAGAAAAATACCTTCTATAAACATGTCAAGCACTAGTAATACAATTTTCACTAAATTTTGTACAAAACACTGACAAGCTAAATTTAAAATGTCTACACTCAAATAATTTTGCTGAATAACAACTCACCCTTGCAATAAATGTTCCATAATTTGAACAAAGCTTTTCAACCATGCTTGATATTCGAGATATGTTATTATTCGATGAACAAACAAAACTGATCAGGTTCTCTACTGGATCCTGTCGGAGAATCCGGATGCCATAAAAATTTAGGGCAACTTGGTGGAAATGAGGATCTTTTGAAGACCATTGTTGATAAAGCTCTTCCAGGTTGACATTGAGCTGGAAATAATCTTCCAATAAATGAGATTGCCACATACATGTATCATCAGTCAAAGAATCCATCAGTACTCTAGGTTGTGATTCTAATGAGCCTAGTCCATCTTCAATGGAATGATTACATGTGCTCCCTTGTAGCAAACCTTTTCTTAAAAAAGCATCAGATTTTTTATTTTTTGATTTGGAATTTTTCTTGACAACTCCACAATGTTTTCTTAGATCTTTCACTGTTTTTGATATTTCTTTACCACATGTTTTATCAAGATTTTCTTCAGCTTTATTTTCAACTTTGGTCAAAGTCTCTACTAATTTAACATTACTGGATGAGCTGCTGCAAGCTGTTTTTTGTTGTGAGAAAATAAACTCTGACTGCTGCTTTTCATTTCTGCCATAATCAATCTGTTTCAGATACAAATTGTCTTTTGCTTTATCAGTGTCAGCACATGTGGAAACGTCTTTCTTTTCACCGTAAACTTGAAATAATATCCTATCATCTGTTTGTTTGACTCTCCATACCATATTGGACAAAACCCCCAACCATTCACCTTGATTGTTCTTCTTCCACCTGCCATAAAATGCAGATAAGTATCATATTCATGTGTTATTTATAATATAAAGCATCCAAAATATTTGTTTTTTTAAAATAAAAATTATATACAATGAAATAATTATGTTAAGTTATTGTTAGTATTAGTGAATTAAACCTACACTTATGTGAGACGTACAGAAAAGAGATATTTGAAATGCGAATGACAGAGATTGCTAACTAACACTAACTGGGTTACTTTTTTTTTTTTTTTTTTAACATAAACTGACAGTAAAAATATTTAAATAAATGTACAAAGAGTTATTTTTTTTTTTTTTTTTTTTTTAACATAAACTGACAGTAAAAATATATAAATAAATGTACCAAGAAATTTTAAATTATTTATATTCTACTTTTCAGTGTGTTTAGACTTTTATTTGATAGACAGTCTTTTTTAAAAGGTTTGAAAAATATGTTAATTTTTTATATTGTATTAGTACAATTTTAGCATATACTGATACTTTTGGGCTTATGAATTCAGTTATAATTATAATGAATATTTATCATAATATAAATATAATTTATACTTAATATTATTACTATTTATTATTATTATTACGGTTAATGCCAAGCCAACAAATCCACCACTCCTCACTGTCCTGGCTTCATCACTGGCCTCTTAAAAAGATTTGACATGCCCTCCCTCAATAAAGACAGATGAGAAAAGCTCCGCCTAAATCAATTCCTATATAAAGTGGTCATGGGACTAGTGGCAGTAGTGCCGGCCATCCCAGCAAACATGTATCTCTACCAACAGAAAAGAAGCCAGTTCGCTTAATTATTTAGAGCCAAACTCTCACTAAACATTGCAGTAAACACTGACTTCACCTCTAACAACCCCATGAGCAATTACATCCGGAATAATAGTATTAGTAAATGCTTCACTGTGCCTCACTGTAACACAGTCCAATATAGACAATCATTTTCCCCACGCACAATCATCGCTTGGAATCACCTGGACAATACCGCTGTAATCTTGATGTCAATCGAGAGCTTCAAAACTGCCCTAGCATCCGTTAGGAGCCGTTAAAATACCAGCATCACATCCCCAACCATTGCACATATGCAGGGTTTCTTTCAGCTATATCTCAAGTGCCCCCTCCCCTCCCGGAGCAAAAATATGTACAACAATAAAATAATGTATAATGTATATTTTATAAAAAAATACTAAATTGTCATTTTTTAAAAACAATTTGAAAAGAATATTACCTGGTGTCATTAACTGATTACCGGTACAATTAATGGAATCAACAAAATATCACGACGCTCGATAAATTTGATGATCTGTATAGTTAAGGCTAATCTTCTTAGAAGCTTACGTTACTCGATTATAAATATAGCAATATTTTGAAAATTTGCCTATTATGAGCCGAAGTATAACTTTCCGTTCGCATTTATCTGTATTTTTTGTTTAATTATTTTTTGCAAACTCACAAGTTTAAAGACTTTAAAACCACTGTATTAAACTACATTTGATTTAATTTTATTTTAATAGAGTTCTCAATAAATATCAATCGTGGGCAATCTTTTCATGTTTTTAAATTATATTTTATAATAAAAGCATGTCTTTTTAAACCAGCAAATGGTGTTAATTACAAATTAAATGATGGCATTATGCTTTCAAAAATATAGTTATTATTACCAATCAGTGTTTCTTTTCGCTATCTCTCCAAAGGGCATTGCCCCCCCCCCCCGCTCAATGTGTACAACAATATAACAAAAATATAATTTTTATATTAAAAATAATTGCATAGTAACTGGTGCCTTTAAACGATTACAATTGGTGGAATCTATGAAATATCGCTAGGCTCCATATATTTGATAATCCGTATATTTAAGGCTAATAAAGTTATAGTATTCGGTTATAAAAATCGCACTGACTGCTCCATTCATACTTCCTATTGTTCGCATATATTGCTATTTTTATTTATTTATTTTTTGCAACTTCACAAGTTTAAAGACTGTAATGAAACTGTATTAGTAGAATACATTTACATACCTATAAAGGTCTAAAATTTAAATAATAGTTTGTCAAGTATTAAACATGTGCAATCTGTTTTCAACTTATAGTTCATTGTAAAAGCATAACTAAAAAATTAGGCTTCATGCTTTTTTTTCTAATTTAGAATTTAAAGGGCGCAAAGAAATAGTGCACGTTTCATAAATTATTATTAAATCAAAATTGTTTTGTTTTCTTTAAATGTGCTACCTTTGTTAAAAAGCGTCCTGAATAACAGATTTGTTTTTAAAAAAAAAATACTTAGTCTTTAGCCTATGTTTATTATCACTAACTTCCCAACTTCTTTTCTCTTTTTAATGTCAGAAAAACAAACAAAGTGCCTCATCCACTGGTATTGCCATAATTTTTTTTACATTATTAATTTTATTTTAGTTGAGAATCCAGTAGAAAGCTAAGAATTTTTTTTTTTGTGAACTAGCATTTCGATTATCCTGCCAATTCCTTTTTTTGGGTACATGATTAAAATTTTTTTTATTCCTAATTCGTCAATTTAAAATAGATTCTGTGGATTTAGATAAAAATGTTTTTAAGTATAGCGAAGAGGCAATTTAAGAAAGTTATAAGTTATAGTTATAGCTGTTTGAAATTCCAAATAAAAATTTCGATCTACTGAATATTGGGAAATGTATACTTTATTTGCATGCTGCATACGAATTTCCCATAGATAAACTAAAAAATTAATAAATATAACATCTTCTTCTGTAAACAACTCATGTCTCCTTAAAATAGTATTTCCACTCATATTATGCAATTTATAAAAATGACCAGTTTTCAAAAACCATAATAATGTATATAGACCTTCCTGATAAACCTGTTTTTTTTTTCTTTTACTCTGATTAAATTAGGACATCTTTAGAAAAGTTAGTCTAATCATTATAATTATAAGTAAGTTTGTTTTTTCCATTTGCGTTCATCATATAACATAATGTTTGCAGTGCTTTTTAGTGATAGAACCCTTTTTAATTGAATTTTATTTTTTGAAAATTCATTTATTAATAAGTAGCTATCCCTAAAAATAATGTAAATAAAAAAATAAAAGCCACCTTACCCTTTTTAGTTAAATAATTATTTTAATTTTGTTTTTGCATAACACAAGCAGGTCATGCTATTTCCGTTTTAACAACCCTTCATGGAAAAAATGATGATTAAGAAAATATCCTCACATCTTTAAGCCCTAAAATATCCGAGGCACCCTTCAGTCGTAGGGGTTGTTGGGCGCACACGATGGTTCTAAGGTTAAGTGGCACCTATATTTTTTAACTAGATTATATTTTTTTGCTCTCCAATTAAGTGTGGAATGTTGCAAAACTAAATTCAGATATGTGAAAAATGCATTCTTGTAGTAGTTTGAATTTATCAAAAATTTTCTGGGGATTTAATGATTTAAAGGGGGAGAATAATCTAGGGCAAAATCGTACCCTTGGGTGGCATAACTAGAGTGAATATAGTTTACGTCCCACTGGTGCAAAATTTAAGATATCTTTGGTCATTATTATGGCTAATTTTGCCATTTCTCAACCGAACGTTTGAAATGCCACCTCAAAATTGTCTGAAAGAAACAATTCAAGTGCGCACCAAATAATGCATTTTGAGTTTGTACGACTGTCATTAGCACCCCTTCCATCACTCTGATCAATGGTACACTATGGGGTTGATTATAAGCCTATCCCTAATGATTACCCTGGGGCATGCCACAAATGGAGTGAATTCAGTTTATATATGGCGCTGGGCTAAATAATGCCTCCCACAAAACTTTAAAAATATTCTTCCCTGTTCAAAAGGTATAATAGAAACATCACATTCCAGTTTACTCAAAAATACAGCTTTGATTTTGAAATAATCAAAAATTTAGCAAGCTCCCCTAAACCCCTCCGCAGATAAAGATTCATCGGTGACATCGATTTCCGCCCTGCTTGCTTCTCAATGAAAATGATCGCCAATTTTGGTATCGATAGTGGCGTAGCTACTATTAAGGCTGTCATGAGCGGCCAAATATTTTTGCCGTCCTCCCTTCCACGTTTCTAATTCTTCAGTTGTCCAAAAATGCCACATCAGCATATAAAGAAAAAGTGACACCTGGGTGGACCACTCCAGCCACCCTTTTTCGGCATCAGGGGACAAGATTCATTTTTATGCCCCACTCCAACTCTCACCTGAAACTGGTTATTTTCAACCAATTAATTCCATCAAAGCCCAGTTCTGCCCCCCCCCCCAAGTCTGGAGCCCCGTGACGTCCCATCTGCCACCCCTTAGCTACGCCTTTGGCAACCGACATAGCCATTATTTTCAACCAATTAATTCCACCAAAGCCCAGTTCTGCCCCCCCCCCCAAGTCTGGAGCCCCGTGACGTCCCATCTGCCACCCCTTAGCTACGCCTTTGGCAACCGACATAGCCCCAACCCGCGAAAATCTGAAGTACCACCCCCCCCCCACAGGGGGGGAGGGTAAATTTCTGAAAAACTCTGCACATATGCCAGTACATTACATTTCATTACATCGACTCATTACTTATGACATTTACTTATTACATTTCATTACAATTACACAGATGATAGATTCAGAATTCAGCAATGTAACCCTACCAGAACTAGATAGAACCAACAATAGGCCTACCTAAAAGATTGTCCGCTCAAAAGAACAGTATCAAGACATATATTCAACTTGCTGCAAGGAAAGCTTTTCCAACAGGAGGCTGTCATAATTATATTAAAACCACTTCTTCACTTCTAACAAGATCAAGAGCGTAAGTCCTACTGTTTATCACGATTTTTACTTTAAACCAGTGCTGCCACTCGGATTTAACAAAATTCCCCAGGTTTACGTCTTTTCCCCAGATTATTGAAATGCAGCGGAACTTCGGACAATAGACTATAGACCGAAAAGAATTAAAATACGGATCATCAAATTCAAATATATCGAGTGCAGCGCTATTTCATAGGTCTAGATTCAACTAATTCTAGTTGTAATCGGTTAAAGACACCATTCTTTTTAAAACTGTTATAAAAATGACAATTTTTTAATTTCAAAAATTTTCGTTCGTTTTATTGTTAATTGTTGTACACATTTTCCCCCTGGGAGGGGTGGGTTTTACCCCATGATTTTAGTGCAACGTGTTATTATTTCTATACAAAGTCTTAATGGAAGTCAAAATTCGATCTCCTTTCGACTATACCACTCACTTATTTGTCAATACTATGAAAACATTTACTTACCAATCATGTACCATCACGCCGTGACTCATCTGCACTTAAACACTATACACGCACGATGTAAAAACAAAACTAATCACAACGTCAGGATTCTTGACAAATAAAGAGTGCACAGATCTAGCCAGGCGGTCGGCTTTCTTTGAACTTGAGACACATGGTGTGATGGATGTGCACATCTCATAAATTATTGATATGTCTTGATTTAACTACGAAGTGGACACAAAGAAAAACGATTTTAAAAGAAATTGAAAATGAAATCTCGGGATTATCGAAAATCCCGGTTTTTTATAAATCCAATCCCGGTTTTTTCGAGTATCAATTATGGTCCGGTATTCCGGTATTTTCGAAATTCGGGATCCCGGATTGCGACCCCTAATGCCCACCACAGAGCAGAGAGTCTAGCATGCAGTCGCCAAAATTGCACGTTCTAGCATGCAGTCGCCAAAATTGCACGTTCTAGCATGCAGTCGCCAAAATTGCACGTTCTAGCATGCGGTCGCCAAAATTGCACGTTCTAGCATGCGGTCGCCAAAATTGCACGTTCTAGCACGCAGTCGCCAAAATTGCACGTTCTGGCACGCAGTCGCCAAAATTGCACGTTCTAGCATGCAGTCGCCAAAATTGCACGTTCTAGCTAAGGTGCGTAGGATTTGCAATATAGTCCTGCAAAGTTCTATTAGTTTTCTACTTCCTCTTATTAAACATATACCTCTCAAATGTCTCATTCTCATGTTTCCTTACTACGAAGTTGTTATCAATGCATTTAAGACGTCCTGTATGTTGTGTCTTTCTTTTAGAGGCAACCCATTGTAAATGGTCAGTCCCTCTGGTCCTTGGGTGTGTTGGAATAGAGCTTTTCTATACTCCGAATTTCTTATCCTCTGTGTTGATTTCTGCCACAATGTAATAGTTCATCCACAGTTTTTCAAAATTTTCCATTCCTCACAACCTTTCTTCACATTTCTAGCCATATTTAAACTTCTTTCTGCCATAGTCTCATTTGGCTGTGAATTTGAACATATAAATATGACCAGTTTTCTGAGTCATGAAGAAAGACTACATAGACTGAAAGAAGAAACTGAAAAAGAAAACACTCTTCGAAGACTTATAATTATAATTACTTCTGGCTGGCCTGAGGACAAACATCTATTGCATAATGCACTAGCACCATAATACAGTTTCCGAGATGAAATCATGAAATCTCCACTCAGGATGGTCTGATTTTTATAGGTGCAAGAATAGTTAGTAGTACCTCTGTTCTTAAGATCAGTAATGAAAAAGGCTTTTCATTCAAAATACATAGGAGTCAAAGGGTGTCTGAAAAAAAAGTCACTCTGGTTAGGAATGACTGATGAAATCAAACATTTTATTTTAACGGGTGATCTATGTGAAGCCCTTCACCCTCACCAACAGAAAGAGACTCTAATGAGTAATGAGATCCCAAAACACCCATGGGGAAAAAGTTTGTATGGATCGTTTTAAACTAAACGGGAAAACTACGTAGTCTGCATGGACTACTTTATTAATTGTTTAGAGGTCGATAGACTGGAAAAAAAACAAGATCAAGTACAGAAACTGTGGTCAGAAAAATAAAGGCCCAGTTCGCAAGATATGGCATTCCATGCACGGTTATCAGTGACAATGGTCCGCGATTTTCATCATATACCTTTGCAAAATTTTCCAGATACTGGGATTTTGATCAACACCAGTAGTCCACACAACCCTAGATATATTGGAAACGCAGAATCTGCAGTCGAAACAACCAACAAACACCTACTAATAAAGAATCAGGATGATCAATTCTTAGCTTTCCTGAATCACCATAATACGCCAAAATCAAACGGGTAGCCTACTATATATAGTCCAGCGCAGTCATTTTTCATTAGAGACGCAACAACACAGCTAACAATAGCCCAATGCCTGTTAAAGTCAGGCGTGACTGATCCCGAGCAACACACTTCAATACTCAGAGAAAAGCAGATGAGATCAATAACCGACTACAATAAACTCGTGAGTTAATTATATACCGGTATGTATTGTTGTCAATGTTGTGATGGGCCACCTCTTTCTAGACCGAAAAAAGGTGGGGGGGGGTGTGATGTCGTTGTTGTTTTATTGTCTCAGTCGCATCCCTTTGTTGTCAATACGCGAGGCCCGTGGTTCTTGAATTGAGATGCTAGAGGCCATGTAGCTAGTCATAAAAGACCTAGACTTCAAGCTAATCAGAGGTCGTATTAGTTTGCCTTGTGTTAGACATACATTACTAAAAAATATAACATTTATGGAGGGTGTCAGACAGGCTAATATGCTCATACTTCATATTCACAGCAGCGGTTTTGTATTCTCACATTTACTCAGGGTCATTTTAAACAAGAAAGTAATATATAGCCTAATAATTATTAATATCAATAAATTTTTAAAAAAAGAAGATGGATTCTTATTTAGATACATAACATTCTAAAAATTTATAATTGAACGTTTAAAAATCAAAATTAAATCACAAAGTTTTATGTTGGTACCGGTACTTAAGGGCCCCCCACGGGTGTCAACACTTAGGTTGTGTCACAAATGACTGGGGCGGGGGTTAACAACAGAGCTCCATTGTTCTTCAGATAAGTTATGGGGTGGACGGAATTGATGTTATTTTGGGGGAGGGAACTGTTAGGTGCATGGGGTAAGGTTAATAGATTCTCGTATCTTTTAGATTAGGAGGATGTTTCTTTCCAAAACATTATGTCTCGGGTTTTCCAGACTTGGCGTGACAATTTTGGTGTTGACGACGGAAGTTCCTAATTGACCGGAAATGAGGGGGGTATGGATGGGTTAATTGCCAGCATTTCTGGACCACCTAGGGAGGTAGAGAATGGTATACAACAAAGAACTCTTCGTGACATAAGAGAGAGGGAGAGATTCGTAGACGATCGTTCAGACGTAGTGTTACTAGCTGTAGTCAGCGATAGAATTAGGACAGATAGCGAAGTGTTAACAGTTAGAAAAGAGACATTACAATCTTCTTATAGTGATCAATACATCTTTATCTTTTAATTGTTAATGAGGAGTTGTTTAGTCATTCATTCATGGTCTGTGTTCTCTTCGTTGTACTTTTCAACGCCTGGACTAGTGAACCTTCACAGAGAGGAACGGGCCCGTACTATTCACAACACCACCAAAACCACGTGGTACATGACCATAATTACGGGCCATACCTCATAATACCATCTCACCTGTGACAGGTTGTGTCAACCAGTGCGGTAAACTCATGGTGTCACCCCCCCCCCCATGGACCTGCACCAAGTAACTCTTAACCAGATCTGTATAAAGTCTATTATAGAATTATTTGTAGCTGTCGTAACACAGCAAAGACACACACATTTGAGGTACAGTAAATCCTTTTAAAAAATGCTTCACAATTAATTACTTTTTAAAATTAAAACGTTAATAATTAAACTGTAGAGTTAAAAGTTAACTTTCCTTCCCTTCAACTTCAAAGTAAAGATGAAAACACATCAAACACTTCATTAAAAAAAAAAAAAAAAAAAAAAAAAAAAAAAAAAAACAAAAAAAAAAAAAAAAAAAAAAAAAAAAAAACAACAACAACTTAACCCTATACTTTTGATTTGGCAAAATGCAAGACAATAAAGAATGAACTGCTCCATTGCAGATTGAAAGATAGTTATTGACAAGTTTCAGTTTTCAATGTCTGCTTTCAAGTGAAGCTACAGACACACATATCGTGATAAATAATTGTAGCATTATTTTAAGAGGTTTGGAAAGAGACTGTAGGAAGTCCCAATCAACTACGAATGTCAAAACTTAAAAGATTGACCAATCTTTGTCTGTCACTGATTAATATATGCTGCTTTTTGGTGTCTTACCAGCCTTTGTATTTCAAATAAAGTTTACTTTCAGATAACTCTTCAGGGAAAATGGTTATTTGGGGAATGGAAGCTGTGCACTCTTCTGCAGTCACCAAAAAGTAGACTGTCTAAAGCATATCTGCTACTTCACTGATGACTCTTGATCTGGAGTTCAGAAAGAAAACGATCAAATACGCTCAAGTATCGATCTCATTTTTTATTTATAGCAAATTAGCCAGGCATATCTTGATTGCACTCCTGCTACTTTTTTCACCCGACTTCCCTATATATATTATCTTGCTCTGCTGAACTCTATTTGGTGGTGACACCCTGTTCTTGTGCCACCATCTTAATCTTGTGACCCTCTGATCTGGTGGCACCCTCCTCTCTCGACACCCTGTTCTGATGGCATCATACTCTGGTGGCATTCTGTTTTTATACTTATATTTAACTCAAAACTCTTCACGCAACCAAGTCGAGCGAATTATGTCAAAATTGATTTTATTCATTGAATTTCACTCCCCCCCCCCTTTTTGTGAGGGTGTAACTCCCCAGTTAGGGTGTCTACCTGTGAGGGTGTAACTCCCCAGTTAGGGTGTCTACCTGTGAGGGTGTCACCCTATGTGAGGATGTCGACCGGTGCTGATTCCTCATTGGAGGTTCTTACTACTTAGACAGATATTGTGAAACATCACACATTTGGCCCCGTGTTAGTTGTTGAGTTAGATGATGTGGTTTAGGTCTACAACCCGGTAGAATTTATTCACACTT